GTTTCTAAGCAAGTCGAAACCTTTTGATGTGACCGCTTCCGACCGAGACATGAAAAACAAAACTCCAACTTTGACAAAACACGTCAGTCTCCAAAAAGTTTGCAAAAAGTTACAACTTATTCTATTCGACACGAGTTTGGTTTTTGTTTTGTCCGTTCGGTGGAAAACCGGCTTAACCGTACCGCCTTAGAGCCGTTTTACACACAAGAGAATTACTCCGAAAATTATGGTCATAATTATGCCGAAAATTTGCAAGGAAAAAATATTGAAGATTTTATCTACAACCTGTATGACACAGGCAAACAAAATTTCCGAGCAATTCATATGATACGCCTGCGCATTAGAATAATATTTTCGAATGGACATAACCTTAACGGGTATGACGTTGTACAGGTTTGGCCATTTTTGGTTGGTTTTCCTCCAATAACAGTGTAACTTCTTTCCGATTCCACGACATTATGAATAAACAATAGCAATGAACGCTTCTTCGTACGACTCGAACAGGACCACACCCACAAATGTTAAGTGAGGTTATGTTGTTGGGTTGTTGACGTTGACATTTGATAATGACATGCACGGAAATAACCCTCTGCGCCGATTCTCGCGCATATTCTATAGAACGGGTTTTATATTTTTACCATGAAAATTTTCTTAAGAATTTTCGGCACAATTATGACCATAATTTTCGGAGTAATTCTCTTGTGTGTAAAACGGCTCTTAGGGCATAAGCAAGCCAAGTAACATTTGTCACCCGATAAACTTAATCGTAAACTGTTTTGACGGATAAAAATAATTTCACGCTCTAAAATAGTTACAAATTTTTCGCGATAATACTTCCTCGCCAATCGTCGTGGGAAATAAAAGGCAACGGCGTCGTTTGAAGCATGCATTACTTTGTTTCAATCTCGTTCAACAACACCTATTATTTCGGCCAGCAATTTTCCGCAAACCATACTAACTGTAACGATGTACTGTTTCAGAAAAATACGCAATTACTTATTATTCTGAGCATCGTAACGATCCAAGTTCAGTTATCTATAACAGCGATATCAACTGGTGGGAAATATTTGATCACGTTACAAAAATTGGCGTCAAGTTTCCAGTTTTCAACAGTTCGTAAATGAGTATGCTTGACACGAACGTGTATAACAAAAAAAAAACAAATACCCTCCCTCCTCCGAGGAATTGCTGCATAGTACACACAGCCCACAACAGTGCCGAAGCAGTGCCGACTGTAACTTACGACCACCGACGACGACGCTTGTCCATCGGGGAACGACGTCACACGCATCGACATCCTACTGTTTTTCTATGTTTTAAAGGGACATCTATGATGAGTTAAATATGCGTAAAATTACTAGGGTATCAATACACCGACGACAAAAAATTGAGATATATTCTCCCGTAACCCCCAACCCCCAATTTTTAACCCCTACAAAATTTTTTATGAAAATGATCAGGATCGTTTTGTTTTTTCGTTTTTAATATTTTCCTCCAGCAACAACTAAAAAGCTTTTGCGTCCTTGGTATAGTAGCAACATTCTGCCTGTAATTCCTCTACTTTATTCTGCGGATCGAATTTAAAAACACCCTTCAAATTAGAAAAAAAAGCCCTTAAACTATGCACCCAAATTAAGGCAACAAATCTGCTAAGAACGCAACTTCAATTCATTCGCTTTCCATAACCCTTCAAAGTTGTGGTGAATAATAATTTAAATCCAAAGCCACCTATTTCCCTTGTCTTAATTCCTACCAATTACGAACGCGCAATTTCGAACTACAAACGGTTTCTAGATGGAAAAATTGTATGACGGCACCTGTCAGCAGTTTTTTCGAGATTATCCGCGGCAAAACTTGACAGCTGTTGTCACCAGAAATTACCTTTTGTAGTTGCATATGTGCATTCATTTCGGGCCTGATGAAGCCAACCAGCAGAAATACGTATCGCTCGGGTTACCTATCCTATTTCTGCTCGTTGTGTCTTAGAACAGGCTTATTGTGGCAAATAACAAGATGATATCTCTGAAACAAAAAAGTAAGTCTAAGGCCCGTATCGTCAGTCGTCCCTACAATTGTAGAGCTCGTTTATGGTCTCCTTGATTGTCATACTGCTTTCTCTCCTTCAAAAATGTCTAGATTACACTTGTCCCGTGTCAGCGTCAGCGTTCTCTTATTGTGAAGATATGTTTTCTTTTTAAATTGTAGGAAATTTCAGGCTGATAAAACATGATATAACTCAAAAGCAAACACAATTTGATGCAAATAGATGTTTGTGACATAACCTCAAAATAGTACGCTGACACGGAGAAGTAGAAAACTATGACGATCAAGGAGGCCTTAAAGACGCCCTACAATTGTAGGGACGACTGACGATACGGGCCTAAGAGTTTTACAGTGAGGTATCTGTTTTTGTTGAACCCAGAGTGGCACTAATAAATTTTGTTTTCCAAGCAGAGGTACAGGATATAGCTACACGCGATTAGATTATTTTTAAGTCGTAATGGACACTTCGGTAGCTGTTGAACGCGCTATATGTCACCTTATCTACTTCATCCAGCTTTTTTAGATTTCTATTTTAAGCGACAGGAAAAGCCTAAGCATTTCAACTCGACATGAGAAATGACTGTAAAAGATTCTTTTCGAAATTTCTGTAATAATAAATTCGGTTTGATGTACGAGGGTTGTTTCAAAAATAGGGTTTCCATAGGCACTGAGGAATTTTTTATTCGAAAAAACGAATTCATTATTGGAAACGCTGATCCTCAAGCTATTTTTCTCTACAGTCGCCATTTTATACTACACAATTTTTAGACGAGGAATAGCCAAATAAACTGCATCCAGTGACGTCATTAACACGCTTTTATTAGCTTGGCCTGTACAGATATGTATGTATATATACTAAGTGACATATAAATCCGAACACCCAGTTTAAATGGTTTTATTTTAATAAAAGTTGGTGAACGTATTTATCTTACTGTAAATAACAAGTGAAAAAATGTTCAGCCTTATCAGTTGGACATTCCGGTTTTTATACTGTTTTTTTTTAATTCACTAACGCTCTAAAAATTAATATTTCAGCCGCAGTAAAGAATCGACGTTGGCGGATTTTGTTTCTTGACATCCTTTAGGATCGGTTACGATGCCTAGAGTACGGAGACCTGTACGATTTCGTCAACTTAGTGAGTTTGATAGGGGCCGTATAGTGGGACTTCGGGAAGCTAGACTTTCTTTTCGGGCAATTGCAGTTAGATTGCAAAAAAGTGTAGGCACTGTGGTTAGGTGTTGTCAGGCATGGCTTCGAGAAGGCCGTACGCAAAGAGCAAGTGGCACTGGACGCCGCCGTAGAACAACAGACCGTGAAGATCGCCGCCTAAGATTATTGGCCTTAAGGGACCGTTTCTCCACTACCAGGTCCATTGCAAATGAATGGTTTGTAGAACACGGAAGACCTATTGGCATGCGAAGTGTTTACCGACGAATGAGAAGTTTTGGCTTGTTTTCATACCGGCCACACTGGGTCCTCCCTTTAACTCGAGAACACCGACGTAATCGCCTTGAGTGGTGCAGACAACGGTCACTCTGGGATCAGGAATGGAACACTATTGTGACGAGTCTCGATTTTGTTTAGGCATGCGCGATGGTCGTGCCAGGGTTAGAAGGCGACGTGGTGAAAGGAGGAATCCACAGTTTTTTGTTGAAAGACACGTTCATCACACTGTTGGAGTTATGGTTTGGGGTGCTATAGCTTATGGTTCCAGGTCACCTTTAATCTTCATCGGAGGTAACATGAACGCGCAGCGTTATATCCACGAAGTTCTAGAACCCCATCTTTTACCCTAACTTGACACCTTGGCAGATCCAACAAGATAATGCCCGACCACATGTTGCAAGAGTCACAATAGACTTCTTTCAACATAATGATGTCACATTGTTACCATGGCCACCAAGATCTCCCGACTTATCCCCAATTGAGCACGTGTGGGATATGATGGGTAGGAGATTGCTCAATTTGCAATGTCCTCCTCAGTCTCTAGAAGCATTTCGAGAGGAGTTGGTGGTTGCCTGGAATGAGATACCACAGGAGGACATTGACCACCTGATCAGAAGCATGCCTAGGCGCGTTGGAGAATGCGTAGCACATCAGGGTGCATCCACACATTATTAAAGGTCAAAGGGCTTTAAAGCAGTGCAATCATTTTGAAATTTTTATCATTTACTTATTATGCTTCATTAAGTACTTATACAAAATTTTATTAAAATAAAACCATTTAAACTGGGTGTTCGGATTTATATGTCACTTAGTATATGTAGCGGAATCTTTGAGCATAATTTTCAACAATTTCCAGAAGTTTGATTTATTTGAAACTTCGCTTACGAATCAAGGACCGATGACAATTTGATAACAGTTTTCCATTATCATTATTAGGGCCGCCAGGATTGATAAATTCTGTTATACATCCTCTGCAGGGGACTGAGACGGATAGAGCTAGCGCGCGATCTGCGCTTGCGTGCAGTTTCAGACTTACTCTTTGTTGGTTTGACCACTCGGCACAATGGAGGCAGATACTTTTTCAATGAAGTGCATTCTCACCTCGCTCATTGCGAAAAACCCCATGCAACAGTGAAGATTTGAATGAAAAAGTTATGAAAATATAGTAAAATGCACCCCGCGCGTTTGAATTATTCTGTTAATAACTTAAATTTTATTTTGAGGTCATTAATTATGACTGATTGTTCGACCATCTACTACTGTAATACTCGTATAAACTCTTTGTAATTAAAACTTATTTTCTACTTTTTAGTTCGATTTGCTATAAAAGAGTGTTTTTTAGTGTTTTTAAACAATTATTTATTTTCTTTATTAACTCAAAAGCAGTACCATCAGTTTCAACGTTTACTAACAGTTCTTTGAGTATTAGACTCCGGTAGTAAGTTTCAAACCTCCCAGTTGAATTTTAGCCAGACATTTTATCAATACCCTGTATTTCGTTTTTTTACAGAATGTCTGAAAAAACAGCTGAAGACAACTCGTCAAGCTCGAAAATATCCGGATACCTTGAGAAAAAAGGAAAAAAGGTACGAGACGTCCATCACTTGTCATTGCTTGATAATTATTTTGCTTGCAGAAAATGATGGCATCCTACAAAAAATACTGGTTCGTCCTAGAAGGAAGACTATTATTGTACTACAGGTCAGAGGACGAATATAAAGGTATATCACCGTGTAAAGGATCCATTAATTTGGGTCCACCGTGTAGTGTTAAGCCTTGTCTGTCCTCTCCTGGGGTGTTCCAGATCGAAACCAGGAGTTCAACTATAACTTTGGTAAGCTATCTTGTGCATTTTTGATTCCAAACGGATCATTTTCAACCCCCCCCCAATCCTGCATCCATTTGTATCACGAAATTTTGGAAATTTTGAATTCTGAAGATTTGGAAATAATAAAAATGTTTTAAACTTTTTTGTAGATTTTGATAATTTAAAAAAAAAATTAGGGGAAAATCGTAATTTATAACTTTCAACCTAGCCTGTCTTCAGAAAGGACAACATAGACTAAGTGACATACGAGTAAAATGCTATTTTGCTAAATTTCGAGTTAAACTTTTAATAACATTCTATTTATCAGTACACCTAAAACTTGTAAGAATATGTTCAAAATTACAGCTCTGCTAGTCGGTGTTGCATTTTCTATGTCATTTCGTATACGAGTACATAAATACAGGTCAAGCAAATAAAAGCATGTTAATAAAAATGATAATAATATATATACTTCATGGTTAGCATATTTTGATTTTCTTAAAAATAAAAAAAAATTGAAAATAAAATTTTTTTATTATTTATTTATTTATTATTGCATGGAGAGTCATGGTGGCCATTTTCAACATTTACTTGCCTAACAAATGTATGGATCTCCACTAATGATGATGTATTAGTTTTATTTAAGCTTTAAATCAATAAATCTTCAAAACTATTGAACTTAAGTACATTAATTTTATATCATTATAAAGGAAATTAAAAGACCTTTAAAATAAGGTATCACTCGACCGCCCTTTCCATTTAAGATTTTAGGGTTGGTGTCACCCCCGCTCAGGGGGCTGCACGTGTTAACGTGATTTTTTGCCAAACTTGTGTCCCCCTCGAAAACAAAATCGAAGAGTCTGAGCGTTTTTCCAAAAAAAAAACTGAGCTGCCAGTAAATGCGTCTGTTTCGTTTTCGATGTGCCACCCTGTATACACATACAGGGTGACTTCGAAGTTGAGACATTTATTTTAACAGTGAGTAGATCTGATCAAAAGAAATGTTTTTGTCCTTTACCATTTTTCTGGTAAAATTAAAGTAACAAAGTCATAGCCCTTTGGAAGTTTGAGTACCGCCCTGTCTCAATAATAATATTATGTGCTCGTGTTTGGCGACAACGGATATAATCCGCCTTATCGGTTCATCGCATCGGAAACAAAAAAGCGAAAGAATTTGGAACGATGTTTTTACAATTATTTTATTCAGTTGTATACGTATACAGTCAGTGTCAGTCGGTAACGCGTGAGTGAATAGTGGTGTCTGTTGCGTGGCTCAAACGAAATCAAAAATGGCACATGTTTACGAAAATGCTGAACTTGTGGACATGATTCTTATTTACGGGGGGGGGAGTCGGTTTCCTAATCGAGTGCAACCAACCCCTCGTGCCTTTGTTAATGTAGTACAAAGGGCTCGTGACTTAAGACCTCACAGGGGAGGGAATATACCCGTGCTCCAAGACCACACGATCAAATACAGGTCCGCACTGAAATACTTGTCGGGAGGATACTTTATAAAACAAGATAACATTTTTTTTAAATTTTTTTTTTATTTTTACACACATATTTTGGTTTATCTTCCTTCTACAATCATTATCTGAAAATCAATGACTCAACTTCAAAGTCACCCTGTATACTTCATGAGCAGCATATTCGGCAATAATTTTCTCACATAGGAGATATAACTAATTTTTATAAATACAAAAATTTTGAATATAAAAATTTTAAAACATTGAAAACCTTGAAAATTTTAGAAATGTTGAAACTCTTAAAAATTTTGAAAATTTGGAGATTCTAAAAATTTGTCAACTTTGAAAATTTTTTGGATTTCTAAGATTTTGAAAATTTTGTAATTTTGAAAATTTAGAAAGTCCCGAAAATAATCGCAAAAAAAATCGGGGGAAATCGTAATTCATAACTTTGCACCTGACTTCTCTTCAGAAAGAACAACACAAATAACCCGTCTGGTACAATTAATAGATATACGCGTACTTCATGGGCAGCATATTCAGTAATAATTTTCTCACACAGCAAATATCACTGTTTTTATACACATGCAGACCAATACACACAATCATCCGGATGCGATCTTGCTACTCTGCTACTCAACCAATTTTCTTTCTGTCACATCTTCTCAGAGATATACTTTACAGACTATATCGGCATTCTGCAACCAACAAAGCATGCTTGCGAACTGACTTGCAGCATGGCCGTTGAGTCATTGCTCCATAGGTGGCGCTACAGCGCTCAAGGCGAGCACGAGCAGAATGAATTTGCACACTAGTCTAGTCAGAAAGCAAGCAACTGACAAAAAAATTGGACGTTTTTTTTTGCTCTTGATGACTGTAAAACCGTTATAAAAGACAATCCTGTATAATAATCAGGTGCAAAATACTTTCATCAAATGAAAAAAGTGAAAAAATGACCGTGCATACTTATGGTTACATACTAGAGTAATTAAACAGGTATTTCATTTAATTTGAAAGAGAAAACACGCGGCAAAACGTGTAAGGTGCACCGAACCATTAAGAATATGCCATACAGAGTCATAAAGCTATGTAATGTTATTATTATACAGCGTGCTGACTTTGATTCATATTTTAGATGTTGCATATGTTAGTGAACGAGTGTTATTTTCAAATTACCATTAGAAAGGAGTGTTCATCATTTATAATTGACTATTCTTGAAAAATGGATCTGCATAGAAAAAAGGTCGGTGTCATGTTATCGCACTTTTTTTTTTGAAGATCAAATTTAAATTCATCGCCCCAGTGTATGATTTATAAAATCGCCTAGCTGAAACAGAATTTATTCTGTTCAAACCCATAGTAGACATACAGTAACGGACAAAAGTTTGGAAACACTCTTAGTAATTTTTAAAAAGTGTGCTAATTTTTATTTTTTTCATATATACTAAGTGACATATAAATCCGAACACCCAGTTTAAATGATTTTATTTTAATAAAATTTTGTATAAGTACTTAATGAAGCATAATAAGTAAATGATAAAAATTTCAAAATGATAGCACTGCTTTAAAGCCCTTTGACATTTAATAATGTGTGGATGCACCCTGATGTGCTACGCATTCTCCAACGCGCCTAGGCATGCTTCTGATCAGGTGGTCAATGTCCTTCTGTGGTATCTCATTCCAGGCAACCACCAACTCCTCTCGAAGTGCTTCTAGAGTCTGAGGAGGACGTTGCAAATTGAGCAATCTCCTACCCATCATATCCCACACGTGCTCAATTGGGGATAAGTCGGGAGATCTTGGTGGCCATGGTAACAATGTGACATCATTATGTTGAAAGAAGTCTATTGTGACTCTTGCAACATGTGGTCGGACATTATCTTGTTGGAAAGTTGGATCTGCCAGGGTGTCAAGATAGGGTAAAAGATGGGGTTCTAGAACTTCGTGGATATAACGCTGCGCGTTCATGCTACCTCTGTTGAAGATTAAAGGTGACCTGGAACCATAAGCTATAGCACCCCAAACCATAACTCCAACAGTGTGATGAACATGTCTTTCAACAAAAAACTGTGGATTCCTCCTTTCACCACGTAGCCTTCTAACCCTGGCACGACCATCGTGCATGCCTAAACAAAATCGAGACTCGTCACTAAAGACAATACTCTTCCATTCCTGATCCCAGAGTGACCGTTATCTGCACCACTCAAGACGATTACGTCGGTGTTCTCGAGTTAAAGGGAGGACTCAGTGTGGCCGGCATGAAAACAAGCCAAAACTTCTCATTCGTCGGTAAACACTTCGCATGCCAATAGGTCTTCCGTGTTCTGCAAACCATTCATTTGCAATGGACCTGGTAGTGGAGAAACGGTCCCTTAAGGCCAATAATCTTAGGCGGCGATCTTCACGGTCTGTTGTTCTACGGCGGCGTCCAGTGCCCCTTGCTCTTTGCGTACGGCCTTCTCGAAGCCATGCCTGACAACACCTAACCACAGTGTCTACACTTCTTTGCACTCTAACTGCAATTGCCCGAAAAGAAAGTCCAGCTTCCCGAAGTCCCACTTTACGACCCCTATCAAACTCACTAAGTTGACGAAATCGTACAGGTCTCCGTACTCTAGGCATCGTAACCGATCGTAAAGGATGTCAACAACCAAAATCCGCCAAGGTTGATTCTTTACTGCGGCTGAAATATTCATTTTTAGAGCGTTAGTGAATTAAAAAAAAGCAGTATAAAAACCGGAATGTCCAACTGATAAGGCTGAACATTTTTTCACTTGTTATTTACAATAAGATAAATACATTCACCAACTTTTATTAAAATAAAACCATTTAAACTGGGTGTTCGGATTTATATGTCACTTAGTATATATAAAGATTTTTTGTTCACAAACAGAATGTAGATAACGTACCTATAGACGGATTTATACACTTTTGATGATGTGTGTAGCTCATAATAATGTTTATATTTGTTTCCAAACTTTTGTCCACTACTGTATATTGTAATTTTGCCATAACGTATTCTTAAAAAAATTATTTGCAAATTTGTGTACCTCAAATCAAGTGCTACCTATATTTTAATGCTCTAAATCTCAAATGACACGAAAAATCTCTTCCAGAGAGCAGAAAACATGGAAGAACAAAACAAATGGATGCACTGTCTTATGACCGCGATCAATCCTGCTAAGCAACCGCCAAAACTGAGTCACTTCAGATACGCCGCGGACGGAAAACAACAAAAAACCACCAACCCTCAAAACTCAAACTTTACTAGCAAGCCAAACAAAGTCCTCATGGAACGTCTCCAAAAAATCGGAGCCCAAACTTACGTTACCCAACTGCTTAACAGGAAAATGGATGTTGGAAAAAAAGCAATGTCCGAAGAAAGTTTATTTAGAGGCAATTGCGACTGCGTTGTACAAATGTCGAGGTCTTCGGAAAATGTCGCGCTTAGTCAAAGATCTGCTGAGCATATATACGAGAGAATTTCCAAGGAGTCTTTGGGGTCTACAGAAAGCACAGCGGGTAAGAGAGTCGTGAGGCACGAGTCTGCAAGCTCCAAAAATAAATCGTTCAACGAAGATCTCGGTGATAACGCGGATAAGAAGAGCAAGAGTCATAAAATGTCCGGAGAATCTTTCAGATCCTCAGGTCTATCAGTTAATGTTGAGATGGTAAGTTCTTCGTACACTGATAAAAAAACAATTAAAAAATTATTACGTGTAATGAAAAGTTTCTCAGTGTAATAAGAAATTAAAACAAACGTTTTCAGAATAACCAATACGACAACCATACAAGAGAATCAGAATATTCGAAAAATACCCAAAAAGGTATATCAAGAAAGCCTTCAACGAGAATCCAAAACCGACCAACATCACTCAACATAGTGACGAACGATTACGCGAATAAACAGATGCTAATGGCAATTGAAAGCAATAAGGCCGAGGTTGCAACCCAGACGGAAATGCATGAACACGGAAACATGTACAGCGTTGTAGGAAAGAAAGTAGACAGGGAAAACAATATCGTGATGGCAGAAACTGGAGAAAAGGTGGATCAGAACGAGAACAAAGTTGGCACACCCGACTCCACAAGGTAGTTTAAATATGGAAATTTTGCCCTAGAAAAATCAGCGATATTCGGGAGGTTCTTGAGCAAGTCTTCGAGAACACGTACAGGGTTCGACTGGTATATTTCTTTGATCTATCCACTTATACAGGGTGAGCAAAGTAAGTCAGGTTTTTTTTAGCAAAGTTTGAGGCTAGGTCAGTTTCTTAATTTTTGATCTTGGAAATTTTCCTATGCATCTGTTTGATCTTTGGACGATCCTAAAAATTAATATCTCAAATTTTTCGAAAGTTTGTAAAGGGGAAGGAGTGGCTTCCGGCAATATCAGCTGCAAAACAAACAAAGCCGGAGGAGCGTGTGGTGGTTCTACGCAATGCCTCCCCATGCTAAAGATTAAAATCCCATAAGAAAATGGACGGGGTAGCACCCAAACCAAAACAACTACACGTAAGATACAATATGACGGGGAACTGCTCCACAAACTGGTGGCTTCCGGCAATATCAGCTGCAAAACAGCTACAAACAAAGCCGGCGGAGCGTGTGGTGGTTCTACGCAATGCCTTCCCACGATCAAGATTATAACCCCATAAGAAAATGGACAGTGTAGCACCCAAACCAAAACAACTACACGTTAGGTACAATATGAAGGGGTACTACTCCACAAACTGGTGGCTTCCGGAAATATCGGCTGCAAAACAGCTACAAATAAATCCGGATTAGCGTGTGGTGGTTCTACGCAATGCCTTCCCACGATCAAGGTTATAATCCCCTAAGAAAATGGACAGGGTAGCACCCAAACCAAACCAACTACACGTAAGGTACAATATGGAGGGGTACTACACCACAAACTGGTGGCTTCCGGCAATATCAGCTGCAAAACAGCTACAAACAAAGCCGGAGGAGCGTGTGGTGGTTCTCCGCAATGCCTTCCCATGATCAAGATTATAATCCCATAAGAAAATGGACAGGGTAGCACCCAAACCAAAACAACTGCACGTAAGGTACAATATGAAAGGGTACTACTCCACAAACTAGTGGCTTCCGGCAATATCGGCTGCAAAACAGCTACAAACAAATCCGGAGGAGCGTGTGGTGGTTCTACGCAATGCCTTTCCACGATCAAGATTGAAATCTCGTAAGAAAATGGACGGGGTAGCACCCAAACCAAAAGAACTACACGTAAGGTACAATATGAAGGGGTACTACTCCACAAACTGGTGGCTTCCGGCAATATCAGCTGCAAAACAGCTACAAACAAAGCCGGAGGAGCGTGTGGTGGTTCTCCGCAATGCCTTCCCATGATCAAGATTATAATCCCATAAGAAAATGGACAGGGTAGCACCCAAACCAAAACAACTAAGCGTAAGGTACGATATGAAGGGGTACTACTCCACAAACTGGTGGCTTCCGGCAATATCAGCTGCAAAACAGGTACAGCCGGAGGAGCGTGTAGTGGTTCTACGCAATGCCTTCCCACGCTCAAGATTAAAGTCCCATAAGAAAATGGACGGGGTAGCACCTAAACCAAAACAACTAAGCGTAAGGTACGATATGAACGGGTACTACTCCACAAATTGGTGGCTTCCGGCAATATCGGCTGCAAAACAGCTACAAACAAAGCCGGAGGAGCGTGTGGTGGTTCTCCGCAATGCCTCCCCATGCTAAAGATTAAAATCCCATAAGAAAATGGACGGAGTAGCACCCATACCAAAACAACTACACGTAAGGTACAATATGAAGCGGTACTACTCCACAAACTGGTGGCTTCCGGCAATATCAGCTGCAAAACAGCTACAAACAAAGCCGGAGGAGCGTGTGGTGGTTCTCCGCAATGCCTTCCCATGATCAAGATTATAATCCCATAAGAAAATGGACAGGGTAGCACCCAAACCAAAACAACTGCACGTAAGGTACAATATGAAAGGGTACTACTCCACAAACTAGTGGCTTCCGGCAATATCGGCTGCAAAACAGCTACAAACAAATCCGGAGGAGCGTGTGGTGGTTCTACGCAATGCCTTTCCACGATCAAGATTGAAATCTCGTAAGAAAATGGACGGGGTAGCACCCAAACCAAAAGAACTACACGTAAGGTACAATATGAAGGGGTACTCCACAAACTAGTGTTAGGTACCTTATATCCCAGACGACTGCTATTTGTTTAGCAAAGTTTGGGGCTATATCAGATACTCAATTTTTTATCTTGGAAATTTATCTATGAACCTTTTTGATCTTTGGAATATCCTAAAAAGTAATATTTCAAATTTTTCGAAAGTTTGTGAAAGGGAAGGGGTGGCTTCCGGCAATATCGGCTGCAAAAAAGCTACAAACAAAGCCGGAGGAGCGTGTGGTAGTTCTCTGAAAAGCCTTCCCACGCTCAAGATTAAAATCCCATAAGAAAATGGACGGGGTAGCACCTAAACCCAAACAACTAAGCGTAAGGTACAATATGAAGAGGTACTACACCACAAACTAGTGGCTTCCGGTAATGTCAGCTGCAAAACAGCTACAAACAAAGCCGGAGGAGCGAGTGGTGGTTCTCTGCAATGCCTTCCCACGCTCAAGATTAAAATCCCATAAGAAAATGGACGGGGTAGCACCTAAACCAAAACAACTACACGCAAGGTACAATATGAAGGGGTACTAATCCACAAACTGGTGTTCGGCACCTGATCTCCCAGACGAGTACTATTTATAAACTACGTGGAGAGATTTTTTTCATTTCGAATAAACGAATTTCAAATGTTGGATAGATGACTTTTTTGCGTATAAAGCGCGCTTTTCGCTGTCCAGGATCTTTCCGAAAATAACGGAGATACGGACGTGGCGACTTTTGCATAAGAAAGCCGATACTTCGGACTCCAGAAGGCACGTATTTTCATCTCTTTATTCGTTGCCGTTTAAAAGTCTCGGTTTTTTAAAATTCCTCGACTATATGCTTTTTTTCGATACATGATAAAGTCACTATGTATCCGGCTTTTACCTGGCCTATTGCTACTATTATGTATCCATCGAAGAAAGAGACCAAACCTAAAAATATTCCCGTATACTCCACGTGATCGCGCTCCAAAACGCCGAGCACGTTACAGGGCCGTACTAAGAAGAAATGATTCGTGGTTATCTATCAAAAAGTATGCAAAATTATTGCAGGCATGTATAGGGTCCAAACGTAAGGCTTGGAATGAATGTATTTTTTAATTTAACTGTCCCAAAAAGAAAACAACTGTCTATTGTTGTTTTTAGTAGAAGTGTTTTATCAAAAAATTATACTCGAAATGTGTCGTAAGGCGCATTTATAAAGCAGGGTTTTAAAAAATGTCTTGGCACATTAAAACGACAATTGCATATGCATACAAGTATACCTAACCAAAGCTTAAATAGAGACGTCAGTGTGCAAACAGTTAATTTTTAAATTAGACTAAAAAGTGAATAGTTAGGTGGACTTGAAAGAAAAGGATTTGAATACATAATAATATATACTGAATATTATACAAAAATTTATTGCACAGACATTTTACCTCTAAACCCGGAAATACATATATTTGAAAATGAAAATCATTCTAGTTCTGAGGCCGTGGAACTCCCACTGTCATCAAGATTTATGAGTGAAGGGGCAACGTGAGTATCAATGATACCGCCTAATTCCCATATTTTAGGTTCGACCTTTTCTTTTACATGCTGATACATTTATACAACGTTGCAACATTCAACCAGTTCAGCTGTTACTGAATTAACGATCACATTTTCCCAAGTTGGAAATCAATTTACAACATAATTTTGAATTTTCTGTAGACGTCTAGCTGAACCAATGAGTGGCTTTGAAGAAGATATGTTCGATAGGAAAGCAAATAACGGAGAAACCACATAGTTTTTTTAACATGATACTGAATCCTTGAGAAAGAAAGACATAATACGTGTAAAATTATAATTCCATAGCCCCAAACTTTGCTAAAAAAGTATGACTTCCTTTGCGCACCCTGTATAAGTGGAAAAATAAAAAACTACCGGTACGTGTTCTCAAGGAGTTGGTCAAGAACTCGGTATCTCTTTCCATTCCGAAAATATCGAGATTCGAATTTGGGTAAAATTTTCCACGTTGCAAAGCAACTGTTCAGTTTTTCTCTCAGAATCGTCACTTTTATTTTTTATTGCTCTTCATTTTTTCGTTGTAGCAGAAACGTTGAAGAAAACGCATACTGCATCGGCGATATCTACGAACTAGTCAAAAACAACGACGTTTTGTACGAAGATCTAGAAAAATACGCGAAATATTGCGAACTCAAAAACAAAGAAGTCGAGAAGATTAAAACAAAAGATAAAAAGTTGAGGAAGAAAGACGAGGACGTTGAAGATAGAAAAGAAAAATTGAAAAAGCGTCCAAGCTTTATCAAGAGAGTCTGGAAGAGGAAAAGTAAGAAAAATAATGACGAGCAGAGTTTGGACAGCCCAGTGAGTCCAATGAGTCCGGTCAGCGATCTTGGAGATAAAATTTGTTTGAGCGACGGGACAACGATACGAATGCTCTCAGAATTGCATGAAATCTTGGAACACAAAGTTCCAATTCTTCTAGTGAGTGCATTTTTTACCAAATACCTTTTTCAGTTTGTCGTCACAATGAGATATTGTTTTTTGGGTTTATATGATATGGACCACACGAAAAACTATGTCTCTACCAAACAATGACAGACAAACATTTCGATACGCCCGGCGAGATGATCTTCTTGATAGTTTTATGGGTTTTAGGGTAAACTTTCACAGAGCTCTTCATCGGAATCTAATAGAAGAAGTGACAGCAGCATCGAGGAGAAAGCTAGCAGTAACTCAGGAGCTACTGCGATGGACATTTGTGGAAATGATAAAGGTAGGGTGATTTTCTCGGGTAAGGTGTTTTTGTCAAAGATCAAGGTCAGGTTTCACTAACTTTCAACAACGAATTCACCTGACCTGACCTTGAATTTGACCAATTTGACCTTGACCTTCACATTCAAGGTCAACTTTATTTTCTCGAATAGAAATACCTATTTTTGATACTGGCAATCGAACACAAAACTTTACGTTAAAAAACAATAAAATTCCAAGGTCAAATGAAGATCAACTGTGTACTGCTCTATAAATCTCACAGGATGAGTGATGAAAATAGCTATCAAGGTCAGCTCTTAGGTAAATTTTAACGAGGAAGTGAACGCTGACCTTGAATTTGACATTGAGCTTCAAGGTTATCTAAATACCAAATGAAAATCCTTATTTTTGAAGCCCACAATCGACAGAGCGGAAAATTTTACGTTCAAATACGAATTGAAGTCCAAGGTCAGGGTGTCACCTAAAGGTCAAATGTGTACTGCTCTATAAATCTCACAGAATCATGAAAACAACTGTCAAGGTCGGATCTGTGGTAAATTTTAACGAGGAAGTGCACGCTGACCTTGAATTTGACCTTGACCTTCAAGGTTATTCAAAAGTCTTTTTTTAATGATAATTCCTATCCGGCAATTGGGAGAGCGGAAAAGTTTACTTTCGAATACGAATCGAAGGCCAAGGTTAGGGTGCAGCCTACAGGTCAAATATGTACTGCTAGGAAAACCTGTATAAATCTCAATGATTAGTACTGAAAACAACTATCAAGGTCAGGTTTTTGGTAAATTTTAACGAGAGAATAACCGCTGACCTTGGATTTGACCTTGATCCTCACCGTCAATGACATTTCGAGCTCTACTTTTTTCTTAATGAAAATCTATTTTTTTGATGCCGGCAATTGGAAGAGCGAAAAATTTTACGTTCAAATACGAAATGAAGTCCAAGGTCATGGTGACCACTAAAGGTCAAATGTGTGCTTCTGGCAAAACCACCATGAATCTTACAGGGTTAGTGATGAAAATAACTATAAAAGTCACTTCTTTAGTAAATTTTGGCGAGTGATCTTGGATTTGATCTTGATCCTCACCTTCAATGTCATTTCAAGGTCAACTTTTTTTTATGGAAATCCCTACTTTTGATGCCAGCAATTCAAAGACCGGAAAATTTTACGTTCAAATACGAATTAAAGACCAAGGTCATGGTGACCTCTAAAGGTCAAATGTGTGCTTCTGGCAAAACCACTATGAATCTTACAGGATTAATGATGATAATAAAAATCAAGGTCAGTTCTTTAGCAAGTTTTGACGAGTATCTTGGATTTCACCTTGATCCTCACCTTTAATGTCATTTCATGGCCAACTTTATTATGGAAATCCCCATTTTTGATGCCAGAAATTCTAAGGGCGAAAAATTTTACGTTTAAATACGAATTGAAGTCCAGGGTCATGGTGCCCAGTAAAGGTCAAATGTTTGCTTCTGGCAACACCACCATGAATCTTCCAGGATTAGTGATGAAAATAAGTATCAAAGTCAGTTCTTTAGTAAATTTTGCCGAGTGATCTTGGATTTGATCTTGATCCTCACCTTCAATGTCATTTCAAGGTCAACTTTTTTTTATGGAAATCCCTACCTTTGATGCCAGCAATTCAAAGAGCGGAAAATTTTACGTTCAAATACGAATTAAAGACCAAGGTCATGGTGACCTCTAAAGGTCAAATGTGTGCTTCTGGCAAAACCACTATGAATCTTACAGGATTAATAATGAAAATAAAAATCAAGGTCAGTTCTTTAGCAAATTTTGACGAGTATCTTGGATTTCACCTTGATCCTCACCTTTAATGTCATTTCAAGGCCAACTGTCTTATGGAAATCCCCATTTTTGATGCCAGAAATTCGAAGAGCGAAAAATTTTATGTTCAAATATGAATTGAAGATCAAGGTCATGGTGACCACTACAGGTCAAATCATAATATAATAATAATCTTACAGGATTAGAGATGAAAATAACTATCAAGGTCAGTCCTTTTGTAAATTTTAACGAGTGATCTTGAATTTGAACTTGATCCTCACCTTCAAGGTCATTTCAAGGTCAACTTTTTTTTATGGAAATCCCTACTTTTGATGCCAGCAATTCAAAGAGCAGAAAATTTTACGTTCAAATACGAATTGAAGACCAAGGTCATGGTGACCTCTAAAGGTCAAATGTGTGCTTCTGGCAAAATCTTACAGGATTAATAATGAAAATAAAAATCAAGGTCAGTTCTTTAGCAAATTTTGACGAGTATCTTGGACTTCACCTTGATCCTCACCTTTAATGTCATTTCAAGGCCAACTTTTTTATGGAAATCCCCATTTTTGATGCCAGAAATTCGAAGGACGAAAAATTTTACGTTCAAATATGAATTGAAGATCAAGGTCATGGTGACCACTACAGGTCAAATCATAATATAATAATAATCTTACAAGATTAGAGATGAAAATAACTATCAAGGTCAGTCCTTTTGTAAATTTTAACGAGTGATCTTGAATTTGATCTTGCTCTTCAATGTCATTCCAAGGTCAACTTGATTTTTTTTACATGGAAATTCCTATTTTTGATTCCGGCAATCGAGGGAACGTTTAATTACGAATTGAAAACCAAAGTCATGGTGACCACTGAAGGTCAAATGTGTACTTCTAGCAAAATCACTATGAATTTTACAGGATTCGTGATGAAAATAACTATAACTTTGACCTTGATCCTCCTTCAATGTCATTTCAAGGTCAACTTGATTTTTTTAACGGAAATCAATGCTTTTGATGCGGTAATCGAAAGAGCGGAAAATTTTACGTTTAAATACGAATTGAAGATCAAGGTCATGGTGAACACTCAAGTTCAAATGGAGATCAAATGTGTGCTTCTAGCAAAACCACTATGGATCTTACAGGATTCGCGATGAAAATAACTATAAAGGTCAGGTCTGGTAAATTTTAACTAGAAGTGAACGATGATCTTAGATTTGACCCTAATCCTCACCTTCAATGTAATTTCAAGGTCAACTTGATTATTTTAACGGAAATTAATGTTTTTGGTGCCGGCAATCGACAGAGCGAAAAATTCTTCGGTCAAATACGAATTGAAGACCAAGGTCATGTTGACTTCTTAAATTCAAATAGAGGTCAAATTTGTGCTTCTAGCAAAACCACTATGGATCTTACAGGATTAGTGATGAAAATGACTATCAAGGTCAGGTCTTTGGTAAATTTTAACGAGAGGTGAACGATGATCTTGGATTTGACCTTGATCCTCACCTTCACTGTCTTTTCAAGGTCAACTTGATTTTTTTAACGGTAATCAATGCTTCTGATGCGGTAATCGAAAGAGCGGAAAATTTTACGTTTGAATACGAATTGAAGATCAAGGTCATGGTGAACACTTAAGTTCAAATGGAGATCAAATGTGCGCTTCTAGCAAAACCACTATGGATCTTAGAGGATTGGTGATGAAAATAACTATCAAGATCAGTTCTTTAGTAAATTTTGATGAGTGATCTTGGATTTGACCTTGAACCTTACCTTAAAGGTGAGGAGATATGACTGGGTAAATCAAGCTGTTTTTATTACTCATTTTTCAGTTTATATTATGAGTCTCCGAAGCTCCAGAGGATCGAGGACACCCTCATAAAGTATTAAATATTTCTTTCTCTCATCTTAGTCTGTTTCAGATTGTCCCGCACTTCCGCCAAAAACAAAAAAGGTCGATTGTTCGTATCCCTACCACGATGTGCCAACGAACAATAAGCCCACAGCGCTGCCTGCTAAAAGGAAAAAGAAACAGGAGGATGTGAAAAGTTTAGATGAAATTCTAGACGAACTTGAGTGCCAGAAAAGAGAGGAACCCATCAAGGTATTGAATACAATGTTTTATTATCGAAACGTGAAAATTTATCAGATGCATTTGCAAAAAATCGCAACGTTTTTATTATTCCCTAAGTCCAGTCATTTTTGGCAGTAAAAAATGAGAAAACCCCATAATAACTAGAAATATTATTCGTATATGTTTTTGGAATTGTAGAATAAGAAGAAAAAAATTGTAAAATGAGAGTAGTGAGTAGTTTTTATCAAATAATTTTCTTTATACAAATCAAAAACATAGTTTTTTTTTCTTCGCAGTTATAAGCGATTTGAAGCCTAAAAATCTTAAAAATTACCGTTTTTTAACGCTTGAAAACCCTGTTAAAAATTAATATTTTTGAAGTTGCCAAGTGCTGAAGCTGAAGGTCAAACCTTTCCCTACAAAAAAACAGAATTTTCATATCATGAAAATATTGAAAGTTTTGAAAAACTTGAAAATTTCATTGGTGCATTTTTTGGAATTTTCGAACAAGAAAAAAGAAATGGTAAAGTGAGAGTCGTGGAAAATATAGATAACCTTTTTTATCAAACAATTTTTTTTAGAAATTCAGAAAATATTGTTTTTTTCGCTTCGGACAATGTCTTTTTATTTTTTTTTTCGATCATTATGAACAAAAAAGATTCCTAGTAACATTTTCTCTAAAGTTGACTGTTTTCGAGTTTTAAGCGATTTAATGCACAAAAAATCCTAAAAATGCTTGAAAACCCTGTTAAAAAGTATTATTTTTGAAGTTGCGAAGTGCTGAAGTTGAAAAGAAACAAGAAACCAAAGAGTATTTTCAAATCATGAAAATTTTGGAAAATTTTACAATTTTGAGAAATGTAAAAATTTTGAAGATTTTGAGAAATTCAAAAATTTAGATAGCATTGAATATTTTGTAAATTTTTAGAGCTTGAAAATTTAAAAAAACGGAAAATTTTGAAAATCTGCTACAAGTCATATAATGACGCCATTTGTGTGTGACATTAGACCGTCACAATGACGTCATTTTAGTTGGTCGGTATATGTCAGTAGCGCCCTAAAAATGCTGACATTATGTTCACACTATGTTCACTCAGTAGGTATCTATAAGTTGAGGTTATAAAAACCGATCGAAATGAATCGCTTGGAAAAATATTCTGATTAATTTTTTGGGTAAAAAGGACCGCCTTTTATGAATCTATATGTTCCCAAGCCCAAAATTGCGTCAAAAACTGTTAAATCGCTCAAACAATTTTTTTAAAATTCCAAAAATTGTTTCATTCCGGACAACGGTTTTTCAAGTTTCATCCTGAAGATAATCATGCACGTTTCTCTAAAATTGACAGTTTTCATAATATAAGCGATATGATATTTGAAAAATAGCAAAATATTCAATTTTTGATCCCGAAAACAATATTGTAGCGTTTTTCTGGGTTCTTTTGAGTATGAATTAAAACACCGGATTCCACAAAAAGACATGCACTAATGTATTTAACTTCGTAAAATATTTATATACACCACTTGACTGCACTATACTTCACTCCGCTCTTCTACTCTACCGTATTCAGTACTCTCCCCTTCCATCTCCCGGCCGCCGAGTTATACAGTCCGCATCGTTGAGTCTAGAAGAATCGGGAGCCACATAGCGGCCTTCCCGAATAGTCGCGGCCGCTTCGCGTCGTTCTAGAAGGCGAGGCACTGCCACGGTCCTCAAAGACGCCGCCAGGCGGCTTGTGCGGTAGTGGTTCGCGACATACAGGGTGCTTCTCGGACTTGAGTCGAATACTGAAATCCGGTATTCGAATACGATTCCTGAATAGTCAAGATTCGCATACAAAGAAAAAAGTATTCGAATACCTCTGTTTTGAACACCTGGATTTATTTAAATATTGTAGCGTGTTTCTAGGTTCTTTTGGGTGTGAATTAAAACACTGGATTCCACAAAAAGAAAGGCACTAATTTATTTAACTTGATACAACATTTATGTACATCACTATTTATGTCTGACTAATTCTTATGTCGTCATCGACTGCACTATACTCCACTCCGCTCTGCTCTGGTATAATCTGTACTCTGCTTCCACCTCCCGGCCGCCAAGTTATATATAGTCCCCGTTGCTGCTTCGAGAAAGGTCTGGTGAACCACAAAGCGACATCTAGAATATTGGAGGTCACTTCGCGTCGATCTAGAAGGCGATTCACTGTCGCCAGGTGGCTTGTGCGGTCGTGGTTCGCGTAAAAGCAGAGATCGGCCATTAAGCTCTGGCCCAACAGATGGCGCTATTTGTCACAATGTGAAGAAGACCAGAATTTCAATGTTGCTATAACGTTTCTAAATATTCTTTAATCATGCACCAACAAAGTCCCAAAGCATTTTTTTCGTGTAACCTCATGAACAGTGTCAATTTTACAGGTGAGAAACCTCATTCACCAATTCAGTTTGAACGAAAATACCTCAGAACCAACTGAAGTGGTACTAAGAAGGCACAGAAGGATTAAATATCCAAGAGAAGACATCGAATCCGATGAACTAACGAGGCTTTTAGAAGAATTGGCAAAAGTTACCAATGCACCGATTTTAACCCCTGGCGCTACTTGCAGTATGCTTGCCTCAAATTCTGGAGATAAAGAGGTAAATATATATATATATATATATATATATATATATATATAGGTGAAAAATTAAAGCTTCCGCTTTTTGTTGGGTACTTCGACAAAATTTAAGCAAAGAGAACTTACATATCTCCCCAAATTTCGACTTTTCACAACCATAAATATAATCTGTGTTTTGGCCGATTCCACCAACAAATTTCATTCCACTCAAAATCTAATAATTCTCTTCTCACGATTTATTAATAATTGTTAATTTAAAATTCCCATTAATTAAAATATATTTTATTCAACTGCCTCTGGTCGGTTTAACAATTTCTTACATAACATTCTGAAAATCACGTCATCTGAAGTGATTTGGCAACGTATTGGCACACGCCCACAATTCGTTCCATCTTTCAACACAGACATTGACAACCTTCGGCCTTCTGTCAAAGGTTCATCTCACTCATTATTCCATGACCACCATTTTGTACAATCATCAAGTGGCTTCACGACGTAATGCTCTAATGTTTTCTAAATAATTTGTCATTAACTTGTCTTGTCATATTTTATATAATTTTAACCATTGTACCATGTATCCAGCTCTCACCATGTTACTGGACGTTTCCCTCATCCTATACGAAAACAACAATTAGCAACATCCTCACATACTACTGTAAGTTGATTCAATTTAAATTCATTTTACACTTTTGTTGCTACTGTTATCATTGTAGTTGCAGCTCCTGATGATGATGGCAAAGTCCATTGAAAGCTAGAGAGAATTAAAAAAAGTATAAAGAGTCCTCTTTGCTTAAATTTTGTCGAAGTACCCAACAAAAAGCGGAAGCTTTAATTTTTCACCTAACTGGTCTAGACGACAATGACCACGTCTCAAGTTATATATATATATGCATTAATGATATACTTCGTATGGCGTTTTCTTTGGAAATAGATCACAAAATTTTCTCGTCTCTCCAGACCCCTGAAATCATCATGAATTATTTCAGCTATCGAAACTTCTGCCTGAACGAAGACGAAGATACTCTGAACCAGATTATGACATTCCAAGGTCTCACAAATCTTTGAAAAGCTTCAGAAAGAAAGAAGAGACTGACAATGTCATTGGTTCCACCAGATTTTTTGGCCCTATTTTGAAACCGTCCGATATTGAAACACACCGTCTAGAGTAAGTATGCGATAATTTCATTCAATGATAAAAATAATGTATTTTCAAAATAGCTGCAGAAATGCTTGTGTAATTTCTGGAAATATACAGGGTGTTCGAAAAATAGACGGAGATATTTTAAAAAATATGAAAAAAAGTTTCTATAAACACGGGTCCGGAAATGCAGAGATTTCAATATTCAAGGTGATAAATAAAAAAAATTGTCTTTTTTATTAATATCTTAGAAAATATTTACTCGATTCTGTTGAAATTCGCCTATATTATTTATTATATTAAGAGGCTAATTTATCCCTAGATAGATTTAAATTATTAGGTCCAGTGGCGTCCCGGGGGGCACCTTAGCGAATATTATTGATAAAAAATGTACACCACTGAATTTTTTGAAACTTTTATATTTGTTGTTTGATGAAGCACCTAAAAATACAACTTATTTGTCTTTTGTATTTTTTCGTACCTCCTTTCGTTTTTGAGAAAAAAATAAAAACCGTTTGAATGCATGTTACTGGAAAAAATTGGTTTTTCAATTTTTGCACAAAAAATCATTCCTGATATATGCGCGTCAGTCCTTCTGGAACAGAATTAATCACGTAATTTATCTGCGAAATTTCTCTAAAAAGTTCTTTTTTTTTATTTATCACCCTGTATCTTGAAAACTCTGCATTTCCGTAACCATGTTCATAAAAACTTTTTTCATTTTTTTTAACAAGCAATCACCCTCTAAAATATCTCCGTCTATTTTTCGGACACCCTGTATTTCATTGTAATCATTATGGCGCCCCTATACTGCAAAATTTCCGGAATCAAACGCGCTACTCAGACTTGAGTCGAATACTGAAATCCGCTCTTCTACTCTACCGTATTCAGTACTCTCCCCTTCCATCTCCCGGCCGCCGAGTTATATAGTCCGCATCGTTGAGTCTAGAAGAATCGGGAGCCACATAGCGGCCTTCCCGAATAGTCGAGGCTGCTTCGTGTCGTTCTAGAAGGCGAGGCACTGCCACGGTCCTCACAGACGCCGCCAGGCGGCTTGTGCGGTAGTGGTTCGCGACATACAGGGTGCTACTCGGACTTGAGTCGAATACTGAAATCCGGTATTCGAATATGAATCCTAAATACTCAAGATTCGCATACAAAGAAAAAAGTATTAGAATACCGCTGTTTTGAACACCTGGATTTATTTAAATATTGTAGCGTTTTTCTGGGTTCTTTTGGGTGTGGATTAAAAGACTGGATTCCACAAAAAGAAAGGCACTAATTTAATTAACTTGACTAATTCTTATGTCGCCATTGACTGCACTATACTCCACTCCGCTCTGGTATAATCTGTACTCTGCTTCCATCTCCCGGCCGCCGAGTTATATATAATCCCCGTTGCTGCTTCGAGAAAGGTCTGGTGAGCCACAAAGCGACATCTAGAATATTGGAGGTCACTTCGCGTCGATCTAGAAGTCGTGATTCGCGTCAAACGTTGACGACAGTGGTCCGTAGTCAGAGGAAGCACTAACCGTGGACGTTACGAAAAAAGTTCAAAGGCTCGAATGCATAGTAGTAAATCTTCTTCTCCAAACCATTGGTCAGCGATCTGACGCGTAGTAGCAAAACGATCTCGTAGTCTAAAGCGCCTAACTTGACGCTGTGTGGACCAGTTGACCTTCTTCGTGTTCCTCTACCTTCTTCTATCCACACACGACACACCCGCATTACCGTCATTGCAGTACAATTGAAACGCGGCCAATTTCGCGATAGGACAAACCAACATCTCGATAGGAAATAATTCCACACCTGTCAAAATCGCTAACATGGTGATAATTTGGACGTCTCGAGGCATTTTGTTATGCTTAACGCTAGTAAATGAAAGGATATCTGTACCAGTCAGCTCCCAGAAACTGCTTTCTTCACAAAAACTAAGAGATAACGTTTTGACAAACGTAAACAAAAACAAGGATAAAACGTTGACATTGTCGCCACAGCACGCTTTAAATAGCAAAAAAAACAAGTTGAAGAAAATAAGACATTTATTATACATAGTATTCAAAGTCTGCTCTGAATCATGGAAAGCAGACTTTTACGGCACATTTTTATATGAACCTTTCGACGTAAAGTTCAGAAATGCGCCCTTCTAAATACGTCATAGCATTAAGCAACACCCTGTACTGTGACGTAATATTTTCATAAATATTTGAAGTTTCAATTGTCTGACAATGCACAGCATTTCTTGCTTCCGGCTTAAAACCGAATGTTTATTACTGCAACGAAAAGGGTAGACAGAAAGTAGGTAAGGTTAGGAAAATATTTATTTCCAACAAAAATACAGCAACGCCTGACTCATCTTGGAAAATGTATCACATCTCGGTTCTATTCATGACTTTGACAGTTTTCAATGGAACAGCTCATACAAACATACATCTCTATAATAAATCTATTTAATAAACATTCATATACGAAAAAAAACTCTAAGGATCGGACAAGGCAGCGACGCCTGGCAGTACTTTTCCTTCAAGCAGTTCCAAACTGGCTCCGCCTCCCGTGGAAACGTGCGATACTTTGTCTTCGGTGCCCCATTTCGCGCAACAGGTCGCCGTATCGCCGCCGCCTATGATTGTGATCGCACCTTTTTTTGTGACGTCGACCACTTCGTCCATGATCGCTTTGGTACCGTGCGAGAATTTTTCGAACTCGAAAACGCCCGCGGGTCCATTCCAAACGATCGTTTTGGCCCTGAAACGTCACAAATTTACTGTACAGAAAAAATACAAGCGCCGTGTCGTCAGCCGTTCTCACAATTGTAGCACGCCTTGATTTCCATAGGTTTATGCTGTTCCGTGACAACGCTCTATTTTGAGGTTATGTTACAAATATCTATATGCGTCAAATTGTTCATGCTTTCGATCTATATGATGTGTTATATCAGCCTGAAATTTTATGATGTTCGAAAAGAAAACTTAGCCTCACAGTAGGAAAGCGCTGACGCTGACACGGAACAGTAGAAATCTAGAAATACCCCAGCTTTTCTGGAAGAGGGAAAACACTATGCAAAACACTCGGGATTTTTAATTGCCGATTAACTGTAACCAGAAGTAAAAGTCTTAAAATGTGATTTTCAATGTCAGGTTTGTTCAAAACGTTAGTTAACTTTAACCACAAGACCATCTAGTAGTTAACTAGAAAGTTGTAGTTACACCTCGATTTCTAACCTCACGACACACAGCGTCACAAAACCCACAAAACCCGATATTTCAGACGTAGAGGCAGCGTTGCCAACAGTAACGTATTAGTTATATGGGGTTGTCCAAAACGGACGCAGGAAAGTAAACGCATATTAAAACAAGAAATATTGATATTCAAATCAAGTTGGGTAGTTTATTTTGAAGTTTCATTTATACCATTTATGTATGAAAAATAATATCGCTCAAATGTTCACCACGACTGGATCTACAGACGTCCACGCGATGGTCGAAATTTTCAATGATATTTTGCAACATGGTCGGTTCTATGGCATTTATCTCGGCAATGATGTTGTTTTTGAGTTCTTGGAGGGTGGCTGGTTTGTTGACGTAGACTTTGCTTTTCAAATATCCCCATAAAAAGAAGTCACGCGAAATCACGCGATCACCGTAGAAGGACTGCAATCGATGGATATTGACGTTGGTTGTGTGGCATGTTGCACCGTCTTGTTGGAAATAAACATCGTCCATATCCATTCCTTCAAGTTGCGGCAAAAAATAGTCCTCTATCATCACGTGATATCGCTCAGAATTGACGGTAACGGCGTCCCCGGCCGCATTTTCTAAAAAGTAAGGTCTGATGATGCCTTTTGACCACAATGCACACCACACAGTCACTTTTTGAGGATGCATCGGCTGCTCTTGATACTCACGGGGATTTTCGTTCGCCCAGATGCGGCAGTTTTGCTTGTTTACCGTCCCATTCAAAGTGAAATGCGCTTCGTCGCTGAACATGATTTTTGATGAAAAATTGGCATCAATTTGGCGGCCAATCTGAGAACGTTCGGCGCGAAAAATGGTCGGCCCGAAGCAGCTCTTGCGTCAATTGGATCTTGTAGGCGTGTACATTCAAATCCTTGTGGAGAATGCGGAGCAAACTGGTTCTCGAAATGCCCAATTCTTGGGATCGACGCGTTGTTGATTGTTTCGGATCGTCTCTCACACTCTCCTTCACAACAGCAATATTTTCCGGTGTGCGAACGCTCCTTGGCCGGCCAGAGCCTGGCAGATTTGCCACAGAACCTGTTGCCTCGAATTTACGCACCAGACGACCGATGGTTGTTTCGTTTGGGCGGTTGTTGCGACCGAAATGTTCACGATGCGCGCGAAACGTGTTTTTTATTTTTGCACCATTTTTGTAGTGCTCTTGAATAACTTTAATGCGGTCTTTAATCGAATACGACTCCATAGCGATCAATGGTAAACATTCAACTAACAAAATGACATGTCGGTGACAGAAAACAAAGATGGCGTCTATGTCAAATTGACGTTTACTTTGCTGCGTCCCTATTGGACAACCCTTTATAACCAGAGATTGAAAAACGAATTTACAGGCAACTGATAGTTATAGTTACCAAACTATAAAATTAACCAGCAATTGAAAAACTCAGTTTTCACTAAATAAATTGAAACATTACGGCACCGTTGTCATCGAAAACGTTGTTCTACTGTCTCATAGCTGGCGCTGCGCTAGCGCATTTCTGAAGATCCCAGCGCCATCTGGGAGACAGCGACAGAATCAAATACGCTTTTCCGAGCAGGTCCATAGATGGCGCTAGCGTATTTCACTCTTTTTGGGCGCCAAGGTTGGCTAAATTCAATGATTTTCTTTACCTCCTGAGAGGTTCCCTGAATGCTTCGATGCTCTTTTCTCCAATGTCAAGTCCCATCCAGCCAGCGGGAATCCCCTGTTCTACTGTCGCGCAGCTCGAGTTGGCATTCTCGTCAAATTTATCGGCAGTGACAAAATCGCATGGCAGGTGGATTTTGACGTTGTTAGCCTTGGCTTTGTCCAATAGTTTTCCAACTATTTGGGCACCTTCTTTGTCGTATAGGGATGTGCCGATTTCCATGCCTCTGGATTCTTTCAGAAAAGTATAGGCCATGCCACCACCTACAAAAAAAATCTGGTATATTTTGTCCTGAAAGTATTTATTTTGTATATTCCGTGAAATGTATCTTCCAAGCCAAATATGTTTCAAAGATTTTCAATTTTCAAGGTAGGTAACGTTTTGTATCCGACAAATTTAGCAATATTATGGGAAAATATCACAAGCAATTTTAAGCAATCTACCAATCAGAACCCGTTTTGTTTTTGACTTTGTCCGTTTAAGCAACACAGTTTGTAGCAACCATTACATGATGACGTCACGAACTGGCCTTTCGTGACCTTCACAATGATGAATCCGGTGTATATCTAGTAAAACTAGCTTGGATGGCTTTTTTGTATACAAATGAAGTTTCTTAAACAAAAAAGTTGTTAGCAAGTAGGAAATGAATCGGTAGGGTACAAAAAATCAAAACAAAATACGGCTCTGTCTACCTCTCATTGACGGATCCGTCAGAATTATGTGTCATTTGTTGAAGGGGGAATTTTGAAATACTACTAGATGATCAGCTGTTATTATACTGCAATGGATACTCTTATGTATTCTTTTTATTGCCTTTTGTGATTATGGACTTGGAAAAAAAATGATGTCAAATGACATGGGAGTAGAACTACTGTGTTTTTATGGAGTAATCCATTTTTTTTTTAATTTTTATGCAGAACTAATAGTAGTAATTGGACACATTTTCAATATCACAGTAACTTATGTTTGAATCACATTTATAATTTTTGACATTGGACTACAAAACAGTTGCACTGAAATGAAAATATTTATATATGCTGTAATTGCAACATGTGTTATTTTTATGCTGCACATTTAATTAGGGAGTGATAAAGTTGTTGTTTTCTACTATATATTTTTGATAAGAAAAAAACTAAGATTTCAATAGTTGGGCCAACTGAAGTGGGAAGGGGCTCGTATTATTTAACATTTTTATACAGAGTATTAAATTGTAAAGAATGACAAACATTTCATGCTTACACAACACATTATCTAATAAATAATTATGCAACAAAAAGTATGTTAAACGTTATGACTTTTGAAAATGTTACATGCATAGGTAGCTTCTTCATTTACATTAGATGACCTTTTTAACCTTCAGTACATTTAATTTAAAAATTGTAACACATATCAATGAATCATAGTTAAATTGCAGGCAACATTAAACAATTTACAAGTAAATAAATTGGCATAGTTATGTGCAATAAAAAGCTCAATTTATAAAACAAATTAGTCATACCTATGATCATCTCATTGACTTTATCCAACAAATTCTCAATCAGCTGGATCTTATCCGCTACCTTTGCTCCCCCAAGAATAGCCAAGAATGGCCTTTCCGGATTATCCAAAGCTTTGGCAAAGTATTGCAATTCCTTCTTCAACAAGAAACCGGCGGCCCTCTTGTCAAATCCCTCGCCCATCATCGAGGAGTGCGCTCTATGTGCAGTGCCGAAAGCATCGTTTATGTAGATATCTCCCAACTTACGAAGACTCTCCCTGAATGCTTTCACTTTGTCTTTATCTGCTTTAATTTTATTCCCTGAGGCGTCTACTCCTTTACCTTCTTCTTCTACATGGAATCTCAAGTTTTCTAGGAGAATAATTGAACCTGGTTTGGGGTCTGCACAGGCCGCTTCTACGTCAGGTCCCACACAGTCCGGGAGGAAAATGATTTCTTTATTAAGTAGCTTCTTTAGCTCGTCGGCAACTGGCTTCATGGAATACTTGGGGTTCGGGGGTACCATCGGGCCGGCCCAAATGCGACATAAGCACCACACTTTTCGCATTTTTGTCTAGAGCGTATTTTACAGTATCCAAAGCGGCTACGATTCTCTGGTTGTTGGTTATCTTACCCTCTTTCAGGGGCACGTTGAAATCTACTCGCATCAAGACCCTTTTGTTTGCTAGGTCCAAAGCGTCGATTGATAGTTTATTGAGAGCCATCGCACTTGAATTTCGAAAAAATATGAGCCGGCAAGCTGTGTCCGTCCCTATCAAAAGCCGTTTTAAAACTGTCAAAGTCATGTTGAGGTCGATGTTGTCAAATCAAGGAGGTGGTGGTGGGAGGAAATTCGAGAGGAAGGGATAGTGTATTGTGTGTTGCCTATATTAAAGGACGAGTTTCTGCTTTTATACAATATTTTACAGGGCGATTCAAAAATTTTTAGCAGATCGGAGAATGGACCAGAAAGCATGACGCCAGATTCCCTTGAAGAAAATCTCCAGGAATCCAGCTGTAAACACGCAACATCAAACTGCAAACATGATGATGGATATTCATACAACCATCATTTTAACCACAGAAAAACAAAAAATACAAATCTGCGTACTGACGATAAAGAATTAATTATTTACGATGATTTGTATGCCAATTTTAAGCCTTATGGTTCTGTTTATTCCAATGAACATTACTTCAGGAATGGAAGAATGCCTTGTAGGAAACATGAAGATATGAAATCTGAAGTCGATGTTTTTATTGATTCTTTAGAAGTTTGCAATGCAGAAACTTCCACTGCCTTCTGAAATAATTGGCTAATTGATTAACTTATTGTAGCTGAAAATATTCTGTATTCTTTGTGTACAGAAAGGGATATGAAAGATACTAACGCCGTCTGCAAGACAGTAGCAGAACAAAATTGAATTTATAAACCACGTTGAAAAGAAATAGACTGTTTAATTCTGCTAGTATCTGATAGATGGCGCAGGATCTTTAGCTTTCTATGCCTGTTTAAATTTGGTATCTTCAGATATTGACATTCCCAGTTAAAATAGACAATAGACAGGCCCCAAAATAAATGGATTGAAGATCCCAGATCCATTTATAAGACAGCAGAACCAAACACTTTCTTTTCAAAGTAGGTTTCTAAATTTATTTTTGTCTTCTGCTAGTGCCTTGTAGATGGCGCTAGCATATTTCAGGTAAAATAAATTAACCAATGGTTAAACCAAAAAGAACTTCACATCCATATGCATGCTTTTATAGTTACCATAAATTTCCTAGGATTTGAAATCCTTATTTTAATGGCTTTCCTAGGGGTTTTTATACATTACCATTCAATATGGAAGACTGAATATAAATAATAGCACCGCATTTATTAAAATATGCAGTTTTGTTTTCGTTTTAATAATTATCTAACAGTAACACAATACTCAACCATATGTTTATGTGATAGAAAACTTTGATTGGAAATAGCAAACATAGTGATCCCAAAATTCGCCTATTTTTGTGCATTGGATTCCTACCCCGAGAATAAACCTGAAGAAGTTTCCCAGACAATATATCAATCGTTTTCGTAGCAAAAGAGCCATTCCATTTTTTGTCGAAAATATAAAAAAATTGCCCCTATTTGATGACTCCTTGTGAGGCACTAAGGCGCGTATCGTCACTCTTTCCTACAATAAATTGTAGGACACCTTTATGGCCTCCTTGATTTTCATAGCATTTTCTCTCCTCCAGAAAGACTGTGATATTCTAGATTTTTACTATTCCATGTCAGCGTCCTCCTATAGCGAGGTTATGTTTTTGAATCGTAGGAAATTTCAGGCTGATATAAACCAAAAGCACGGACAATTTGATGCAAATAGTTATTTGTAGCATAACCTCAAAATAGAACGCCGTCACGGAACAGTAGAAAACTGTGAAAATTAAGGACAAAACGACTGACGATACGGCGCTTAGGGGTAGTTCGGGATAACCAAACTTTATGCTCGTTAGTTTTTTTAGTTATGGTGAAATTAGAGGGAACTTGAAATTCGGAAAAAGTTACCGCACTTCAGTTAAACCCGTAGAGGTAATTTTTGAATAGTTTCAAAAAACAAAAAGTAAAGCCTCCTTTAATCTTCCAGAAGGAATAATTTGGCGTTTGGAAATGTTTATTCTCAAGGTTGGAATCCAATTAATTTTTGAGTTACTCTTTTCTTGATTTGAAGACTATCGCGTATGACAAGTTACCAGTAGGTTTTTAGAAATAAATATCCTGTTTTAGTTAATACTAGGCAGTCTGATAAGTCCCTGAAAAATGAAACACGGAGACGTTTTTTTGGCCAAAGTCGGGTTTATTTTTCAACATACTCTCCTTTTAGGTCGATACAGCGAATCCAACGATTTTCTAACTTTTTGATACCGTCCGAAAGTACTCGATCGGAAGGTCTCCAAAATACGCTTCAGTTTCAGCTATGAGCTCCTCATTTGAGTAAAAACGCTTACCGATGAGCCATCTCTTCAGGTTAGGGAATAAGTAATAGTCGCTGGGGGCCAGGTCTGGTGAATACGGTGGCTGAGGAACCAATTCGAAGCCGATTTCGTGCAATTTTGCTTGTGCAACTAAGCATGAATGAACAGGCGCATTGTCGTGATGATAAAGCGGTTTTTTCTTCTTCAAATGCGGTCGTTTTTCGGCGATTTCGATTTTCAATCGGTCCAATAATGATGAATAATATGCTCCGGTTATGGTTTTACCTTTTCCAAGATAGTCCACGAATATTATGCCATGAGCATCCCAAAATACGGAGGCCATAACCTTTCCGGCCCATTGTTGCGTTTTTGGACGCTTCGGAGCACTTCGGCCCGGTGGAACCCACTGTTTTGCCTGTTGCGTTGACTCAGGAGTGTAGTAATGGATCCAGGTTTCATCCATGGTTACAAATCGTCGCAAAAACTCGGTCGGCTTACGCGAAAATAATGCCAAATTCTGCTGGGAAGTCGTCACACGAATTCGTTTTTGGTCCACTGTGAGCAAACGCGGCACCCATCGCGCGCAGAGCTTCTTCATGCCCAAAACTGAATGGACGATATTGCCTACGCGTTCCAATGACATGCCTACAGCATTAGCTACCTCTCTCAATTTCACTTTGGGATCATTCAACATCATATCATGGATTTTTTCGACGTTTTCTGGTGTAGTGACCTCTTTTGGGCGCCCAGATCGTTCAGCATCAACTGTGCTTGTACGGCCACAACGAAACTCCGTAAACCACTTATGAATCGTTCCAATCGACGGTGCAGAGTCCGGGTAATACTTATCCAGCTTGGCCTTGGTCTCGGATATCGTTTTCTTGCGTAGATAGTAGTGTTTGATCAAAACTCGAAACTCGGATTTTTCCATATTAAAAAAAAACTCTGAGGTTAGTCGCTTCTCAGTGCTGTAACTTGTAAATGTGTAAACATGAATGGCTGAAGTTTTGACAGGTGTCATTTGAAGGATCAGGCTCGACAAAAATGGTTCGCATTAGTGAATACTAATGCCATCTCTTAGAATTTTCAGGTACTTATCAGACTGCCTAGTACAATCCAATGTGTTTGGTTAGAGTGCCCTTGATAAAGCAAGGATCTAGTGAAGTAACATTCACTGCTGGCCAACGTCGTTTTCCTTTAGATTTCCAAATGTAAGAGACGCGTCGGGATATAAGCATGGTCACCACGTTGCCTGGCAACTACAGTGGGGAAGGGCGCGGCCGTAATTATTCCCTACTGTCGTTGCTAAGCAACGTAGTGACGACGCTTATATGGCGCACTTTGTGTGTGTGAATACGGCTTTGGCCAGCACAGTATACAGGGTTATCCAAATTAAGTGTCCACCATTAGTAACTTTGTTATTAGTGAAAATACAAAGTTGTTTGAATTAGCAAACTAGTAGCATTTTTAACGCTGGTAAAAATGAGAAATAAAAAAAAAACAATTGAGAGTCGTTATTTTGATTTTTTTCAGTAAAATAACATTTTTTTAAATGGAAACCCCTGTATATTATATTTTTTTCTGTTAAAGCATCAAATTTTAAACAAAAAAGCTTACAATAACTTTTCTCCTAGGTTACAAATTGTTGAAGTTATGGCCTCCAATCTGAAACAATTAAATTGTATCGACAAACTTTATTTTCAACATCAACTTATAATCTTACAAAATACAATAACAATTTTTTTTAAAGAAGATGCTCGAAAACACCACCTTGTTCTTCAATACATTTTTGGGCAGGTTTTTCAACTGCTCGAACTGTCTTAAGTATGGTCCTACCATCTATCTGGGTTATCTTTTCCCTAACTGCAGTCTTTAACGCGTCAAGGTTATCGTACCTTCGCTTGTAAATTTGGTTCTTTAAGTAACCCCACAAGAAGTAATCAAGTGGGTTTAGATCTGGTGATCTGGGAGGCCACTGTATTGGGCCATTTGTTCCTATCCACTGATCATTAAAAGTAGTACTTAGAAAATGATAAGTACCTCTGGAGTTGTGGGCAGGTGCGCCATCTTGCTGAAAATGCAGATGATGTCTACTTATAAGATCCAATTCGTCTAAGAAATTAGTCAGAATTTCTGACATAAATTCCACATATCTTTCACCAGTAAGGGTTCCCTCATAAAAGAACGGGCCAACAATTTTTGAACCAATTATACCGCACCAAACGTTGAAACTGAAACGGACTTGTGGGCCTCTTGGATGTACTAACAAAAGATTTTCTCTTGACCAATAATGGTGGTTTTTTCTATTAAACATTCCAGAATTTGAAAAATTTGATTCATCTGTCCATAAAAGGTAACGAAAGTTATTTACATTTTGGCGACAGAAGCTAAGATACCAATGGCAAAAAACAAGTCTTCTCTCTGGATCCCCTGCCAAAAGCGTTTGAACTGGTCGGTACTTATACGGAATAAATTTGTATTTTTTTAAAATCCTTTGAACAGTACCATAACTGAAATTAGAGTCCTTGAGAATATCTGCTATTGAATTCTCACGATAAGCTTCAAAATATCCAATAACTGCAATTTCCGTGGCCTCGCTTATTATGAATTCTTTTTTTGCCCTTGTTTTAGCAAAAACATTTTCGTTGCCCCTAAATTTTCGATAAAGTCTCAGAAAATATCGTTCATACGGTTGAATGCGAGCGGGATATAATTCACTGTAGTATTCTCTTGCTCTCAAGGAGGATTTTCTGCACACTAAATAGCATTCTAACATATCACACTTTTCTTCATGGGAGAACATTTTTCTTTAAATTAATGCCACAATAAAGCTTATAAACAAGTATTTACACTAATGTTTGACATTATTTGATTTTATCATTGTTTTCCAAAGCCTTCTAGTTGCGAGTATGTCCAGTTTAACAATTTGTCGCTCATCTTAATGCTGTCAAATCGCGAACGCCATGTTGTTTTCATAGCCGTCTTAATATTATAATACTGCAAATAATTAAAAATATTTATCGTTATTTTGACTTTAGCGGAAAAGTCATTATGAACTTTTTTGTTTAGAATTTGATGCTTTAACAGAAAAAAATATAATATACAGGGGTTTCCATTTAAAAAAATGTTATTTTACTGAAAAAAATCAAAATAACGACTCTCAATTGTTTTTTTTTATTTCTCATTTTTACCAGCGTTAAAATGCTACTAGTTTGCTAATTCAAACAACTTTGTATTTTCACTAATAACAAAGTTACTAATGGTGGACACTTAATTTGGATAACCCTGTATATTACTACTACTTTTTTTGAAGTGTGAGGAAATTTATATTGTCAGTGTCACTCTAATACTGACATTTTGAATACATCAAGTATAGAGATTTGTATGCCATGTTAGTAATCTAACAATTAAAAACAGCCTAATCAATGAAGCAGTTAGAAATACTTGGTACTTTTCTCATTGTGCTGTGTAAGTTGTATTATGCTTATTGGAAATAAAACTATAATATACTTTAACTTATTGTTTATTGAACAAAAATATAAATATATAAAACATGGAAGAACCCCACTATTTGTGTTTCTTTTTCTTGCCACCACCAGCCTTTCCTTTCAACCTTTTCCTAACACCCACTGCATCTTCCATATCATCACCTTCATCACCACCCGCACCCTTTTTCCTTTTGCCCTTCTTGTCTGTGATATCTTTCATTTCCTAAAAACAAAACAAAAACATTCCATACCGTCCAAATAATCAACAGCTCAATATTAATATTCAAAATAGAACAAAAAAATGCAAAAAGTAATGATAAACAAGCATAATGATTCAAAAGCCATCATAAAACGTGAACTTCAATAAGAATTTTTACTTTCACAATTATCACTTGATTATACTTACTGTGTATAGAACCTGTAAATATTTTGAAACTTTAAGGATTCATAAAAATTCTAGAAAAATTAAATCATACCATTTTAGCAATTCTCTGAGCCTCAGCAATTCTTTCTTGCAACACCATAACTTCATCATCTTCTGTCTTGTATAAAGGTAGTTGTTTTCCAATCAGCTGTTCTATCCTTTGATATAACTCCACATCATACTAAAAAATATACCAGATTATTTTTCCAAATTACTTTTTTCTATTGCCTGAGCTGCCAGTAAATGCGTGTTTCGTTTTCGATGCGCCACCCTGTATAACCAGAAGCAATGCTACAGCTACATGCAGGTCTTTATTTGTAAATCTTAATATAATGACAAGCAACAGCAACTGTTTTTAAAAATAAGTCTAAATTTGAAACATCAAATATAATTTGTAATATTAAAATAACGCAAAAATTACCCAAGGACTACTACTACTACAACAACTCCATATTTATATATCCCAAGAAATATTTTTTTTTACCTGTGTCACAAAGGTGATAGCCTGTCCAGATCTGCCAGCCCTAGCAGTTCTACCCACCCTATGAATGTAATCCTTGCTGTGTGTAGGAATATCAAAGTTTATGACTACGTCTACATGTGGTATATCCAGACCCCTATGAAAAAAAAAAGTGTAGCATGTAACTATTTGTCAAGAACTTAGGATTATGGTCCTAGTTTTTTTAGTTGCCTCAGAGGTAGTGACGAAAAATGTTATGATTTCATCATAAAATCAATAGAGTTATTATGCATCATAGGCATTAATAAAAGATTCAACAAGCTTTGAGATGTATTCCTAATATTTCCATTAAATACCAAAATTAACACATTTTTTTTATCATTTTGATCATAAACCTTAAAATAGAAGAGTTCAACTAAGAGGAAATTTGAGTATTCTTTACCTGCTGGCAACATCAGTAGAAATCAAAATTGACCTGCTCTTAGCCTTGAACTTTGTCAGTGCAGCTAGCCTTTTATTTTGAGACATTTGGCCATGAAGAGGCACTGCGGTCAGTCCAAGATTCCTTAGCATCAATGCTGTTCTTATTGTATTGTTACAAGTTGAACAGAAAATCATGAAACTGTTACCTGCCAGCTCATTTAATATATGAACAAGGTACACATCCTGAAACATAAAAACATAGACTGTTTTAAAAATATTTTTAAGTAGTGTTGATTGATTAATTGTATACATTGTCTCAGAGGTAGTGACGAAAAGATGAATGATTTCATCATAAAATCAATATAGATGTTATGCATCATAGACAGTGACAAGTGATATATAAACCAAAAATTAGAACTATTAACTTCAAACTAAAAAAAAAGTATATTATCAAATTACTTACTTTAAACTTTACTGGAATAAATACATAATACTGTTGTAACTTTTCCACAGTTTGGTACTTTGTGGAAACCTCTACCTTGACAGGTTCTTGCAAACAAGCCCTTTGAAGCTTTTTAACCTTTTTCGTCATTGTAGCCGAGAATAGAAAGGTCCTCCTGTCTCTTGGTATGACCTTCAATATTTTATCTACTTCCACCTCAAAATCCATATTGAGGATTCTGTCTGCCTCATCCATTACTAAATATTTCAAGGCTCTCAAAGTGAATCCTTTGGTGTTTTCCAGATGGTCTAACAGCCTTCCGGGGGTCGCGATCAAAATGTGTGGTTTCTTGGCCAAGATCAAAGCCTGAGACATCATGTCCATGCCTCCTACTATTACAGCACATTTTACGCCGATACTCGAACCTAACGCTTCAAACTGCTCTGAAATCTAAAGAATGTACATGATACTACAGAATTCAGAAGTGGGATGAATATTTCTGAAGACGTGTTACTAGGAACTTTTTTGTTTTTCCTCGGTATACAATAGATAATAGGCAAAGAAATGGCAGGATCTTAATCTAATTTTAGTACAGAAAAATCTGGTATAATCCCTTTCTTTCAGTTTCTGTGATACCAATCACGATTTCCCCTTAATGCAGTCTTTCACTGGCCAATTATACTATTTCTCAGGTATAAATTTTACTTACCTGAAAAGCTAGCTCTCTCGTAGGTGTCAAAATAAGCGCAAAATACCTCTGGGGATTCTCTAAAAGTGCTTGTAATATTGGCAAGGCGAAAGCTGCAGTTTTCCCAGATCCAGTTTCTGCAAGTCCAATTATATCTTTGCCTTGTAACGCCACGGGTATGGCTTCTCGCTGAATCTTCGACGGTTCTTCCATTTCAGTTGTTCACAAGCTTTGCATAATGCATCTACAAGGCCCTAAATTTAATTTGATATAAAGGGAGAATGGTGAACACGTGGTGGTTAGCTTACCAAATCTTGCCATGTGACGGGTTTTTCTTCGATTTTGTTTTCATTTTCAGACTCTTTTCATTAGAAGACTCTTCAGGGCCATCTTCTCTATCAGACATCGTGAAATGGTTTTTTTTTTAACTTAAAAAGCTTGATTTACCAACACGTGCACCACGTCGCACGTGCAGAGATTCCCGAAATGACGTGACAATTGACACGCTCACACAAGTCAAATGTCAGTTAGGTTGTCCGTCACAGAGCACAGAGAATAGAAAAATGATCAGTAAAGAAGACAAGTAATAAAATTCGCCATTTCGGTCCATAAAGTACTTTGACATTTTAAAACTATAATCAAATTCAAACGGATAACCAAATGGAAATGGTATTTACCATTTTGGGTTGGTATTTACCAATCCGTTCAAGCGAGTGTAGTTATCAGTTTGGTTATAAGATCCGTGACGTCACGAATCAGCTGTTATATGTCATAGTTATCACCGCAAAATTGTGGTATTTACCCAACTCAAGAGTAGTTTTATATTTCTGGTTATTATTTGAAATGTGACAAGTTAGAATTTTGCCGGGTATTGGATATTGTTATTGTACTTCAGCTTCATTTTTGAGAAAAATGATACAGGCTGACTTCAGTTTTACCATAAAGTGGAGCACCTTATTTGTTATACTCATTACGGTTGTTGGGCACACTTTAAATGTAGTTCCTATGCTTAACAAAGTATCCTGTGTAGCCATATACCACAAGAATATTAAAATATGGCCATATAAACTCACTAGATGATATCCACCTATATACGGTTTTGCTAATTTCTTTTTTCATCATTTCTGCTGAATCAATAAATGTTTTCTCTGACATGCGGAAAAATTTAGAGAATTGAAAGTTGTCATAGCTACAAAGCCATGGTTCCATCATTAAAAAAAAAATCTGAAAAAAACATTTCTCCCATGAATATTATGAAAGGTTTCTTATTTAAACTTTCCATATACAGTTGTAGACGAAAAAGCACCGATTATTAAGTGATAATAAAAATAATCAGAGATTATATACGCGCTTTTCTAAAATAAACAACTTGCAACAAAACCGCGGTTAAAACCAACGCGTTCAAGCGAATCGTGTAACTGACGTCATCAACCCGTGTGTCATCTTGAACCATATTATAACTGCGGCACATAACACAGAAATTTTGGTTATTCGCTTGGATTTGATTATAATTCTAACGGATCCGTCAATGTCAGTTAGACTTTGCTTTTGCTTTTTTTTGTCCTTGCTGACAGCTTTTTTATTTAGAAAAGTTGATTTGCATACAAAAACAAAACCCCACAAACAAGTTTTACCAGATTTACACCTGATTCATTATTGTAAACGTTGCAGTGTAACACAAAAATGTCACTTGCTAATCAGCTGTTCAGCTCAGTAGACGTCTATATAGGGTATATACCCTATTTTACCAGTATCCATCACGCTTTAACATCTACTGACGAGAACAGCTGCTCAGCAAGTGACATTTTGTGTTAGTCTGCGTCGCTGGCAATAGTGAATCGCGTGTAAATCGAGAGAAACTTATTTGTAACGTTTTGCTCTTTGTACGCAAATGAACTTTTCTACATAAAAGAGCTGTTCGCAAGTACAAAGTGAATCTGTAGAATACAAACAATCAAAACAAAATACAGCTCTGACTTCATGACGTTGACGGATCCGTCAGAATTATGTGTCATGTGCCGATATCGGGAATTTTAAGATATTACTAGATAGTCCGCTGTCATTCTACCGTGAAGGATACTCGTGGAATAGAGTATATGCATGCTTTATTGCGATATATCAATTTCTGGCCCGAGTAAAGATAACATTCACTAAATTACGGTTATCCACTAAATTATATGTAGCAACTAAAATGAGAGATTTATATACTTGTTTTGTTCCAGTGCTTGATTTGTTCATCTGTTCTGATGACTACGTGAGACTTGACATTGACATATAAACTACTCGTTCTGTGATTTGTAAACAATTTTCATGGGCTGTTTGAAATTGCGGCAATTTTCGGCTACGATTATACCATGTATTTCTCGTAGATATTTCTGTAAAAATGTAACAAATGGTACTATGAAATACTTAAACGTTGCAGAGAAAAATGATGCAGCGAAAAATATTGCTCAAATTCTCTCTAGGGGAAACTCAACACGAGTAGGTTCATTTCTGTTTACATATTTTCAATGCATAAAAATTTCAATAACTCCGAATTTTAGCGTGAAGGACTTTCACAATATAACAAAATATATGAGTTCAATACTCAAGTTTTTGGAGAAAACGCTGTTATGATGATGACATCAGTGTCTGGACACCTGTTGAACTATCAGTTTGCACCGTCATTCAAAAACTGGCACAGCTGCAGCCCTGTTGCCTTATTCGATGCCCCCGTTCTTAAAACGTGTCAACCCGATTATGAAAACATCAAGGTACGAGAAGATTACACTTTCTATTTGCTTTCACTATATCTAATGTCTATTACTACATGGATGAAAAGGAAACAGAGTTTTTACTGTTCTTTGATTTGTTATTTGTAGAAAACATTAGAAAGGGAAATCAGAACGTGCCAAGGGTTGATAATTTGGACTGATTGTGATCGAGAAGGAGAAAATATAGGTTTTGAAATCATAAAGGTTTGTACAGACGTAAAACCTAATCTAAGAATTTATCGAGCTAAATTTTCTGAGATAACTGGTGCCTCAATCTTTCGTGCCTTAAACACCTTAGGACAACCAAATAAAAATGTTAGTGATGCGGTAGATGTGAGAATGGAACTGGATTTAAGGACAGGTAATTTATTCAACGTTTGTGCTGTCAAAATGAATTTATTCTTAAAATTGAAGGTGCCGCCTTCACAAGATTACAGACGCTTAGGTTACAAAAGGTATTTCCACAAAAATTAGCTGATAAGTTGATCAGCTATGGTTCCTGTCAGTTTCCAACACTGGGATTTGTGGTGGAAAGATATAAGGCGATCGAGGAGTTCATACCTGAGGACTTTTGGAAAATCAAAAGTAAGTTTCATACTTTAAAGGCCGGCGTAATTATTAGAATGAGTGTTACACATCCTTTCGAAAGCTAAATAAATAAAAATATCTTTTCATACAAAATTCAGTGCAATTATTTTCCAAAAATTATTGTTTAATCAATTTCCTTATTTTAGATAATAATAATAATGTTTATTTTCACAAAATACAGGTAAATATCAAATATTGTGCACAATAAACATAAAACACCCAAAAAAAGTTTGCGTTTGTTAAAAATAAAAACTAATAGTACAGTCACTGTATGAAAAAAAACCGTTAATACTGTATAATTTGGTGCATTATTATGGTAATATCAGGAAAAATATTCAGGCAATTATAAATAAAGTAAAAGTACGGATGTTAGTGTAAGTAAAATATTATTGACTTTGATAATGATTTTTCAGATCTACAATTGTTGTAAATTCCATTTTTTTAGGTCTTTTTTAAATGATTTATTTGATTTAATTACTCTTAATGACTCTGGTATGAAGTTATAGAATTTTGGTCCCAAGAAAAACAGAGATCGTTGTGTAATGGTTTTTGATGTTTGTGGAATACACATTGAATTTTGATTGAATCTTGTTGGGTAGTTATGAATGGTACGATTCAAGTATTTCGAATATTTTACAAAAATGTATTAGACCACAATAAAAATAAATTTGTCTGCAATCTAATAGCTGACCCTCCACATATACAAAATCACTTGAATAAGTAATCTCCCTATGGAGGATCAATTATAGATTTAATTTTTGGATTACATCAACCTTTTTGATTTGCCTTCTTGAAAACCATATTGCTGTTCCGCTATTAAGTTATATTTTCTTGAAAATTCGTTTTTTTAACACTTTTTTAAATATTTTAGAAAAATTGGTTAAGATGGAAATTGGTCGATAGTTGATGGGTTTTTCTCTTTCTCCAGATTTAAATAATGGTTTTACCATTGCATGTTTTGAACATGTAGGGAATATTCGGAGTATGCCGCAGATGTTGGAATTTATTCTCTTGAGAGTATATGCTGTTATATTATCTAGACCTGGAGATTTTCTTAATTTCAATTCATTGATTATTGTCTTTATTTCATGCGTATCGGTCGGTTCCAGATATAATGAGTTATATAATCTGGTCTTAATTTCTACGCGTTTTTTATGTTTTCTGACAACCTTTTCCCGATTTTTGAAAAATATTCACAAAATTCATTTGCGATATCTACATCATTACTCACTAGTTCACCATTTTCTTTTTTAATTGTACTAATTTTTTTGTTTTGTATTCTCAAATAAAATATAGGGAATTCTATCTGACACATATTTTTGGTAAGTCTCAAAGTTGAATCAATATTTCGATATATTGATGGTCAACTGAACTTTGAGGATCACTATGAATACATTATTTCAAAAATTGCCAAAAAAGAAAACAAATTACTTTTATAGAGCTTGTCATAGTCTTAATACATATTAAAAAAAAATGTAAATGTCTACTGCATTTACTATGTTGTTCAACTATCTTGTTCACTGCCTATGATTCTTAAAATTATAAGTCCTACAAAATACAGCTCTGAGAGTAATATTGAATAAAAATATGTCTTATATCAAAATGTTAGAAGAATTGAAATGGTTGATATCAATTTCATATTTAAAATAAAACATCATTTTTTGCTACAAAATTTAGAACATTACATAGAATTGAATAATTATTACCACAATTATTACACAAGAAAAAATATAGATTTCCATTTATAAAATTGCAGTATTAATACTAGTAAATCAATATTTCAGAAGGGGTTACTTGAATTTAATAAACTAAATAATGATATAAGGTGGAATTGTAATGTTTAAAAGAAAATTGAAGGAACATTTCATTTTGAATATTAGTATGTTATGTAATTGCTGTCGTTTTTTAAAGGAATGTAATTGTTGAAATCATGCTAAATAAAAAACAAAAAAAAATAATGGAACACAAGTATAATATATATATATATATATATATATATATATATATATATATATATATATATTGTTTAAAATCTTATTTAGGAGCTACTCCATCCGTATATTATTTACTAACACCATATTATTGAAACTAATTTGAGAATTGATCATTACATAATATAGGATCTAATCAAAGTTGTAAAATTGTTACAAAAACAATATTTGACATGTCTGATTGCATTTTAGTGAATCATACAGTAAAAGAAGTCACAACAGACTTCAATTGGAAGAGAGAAAGATTATTTGACAAAAACACATGCCAAGCAATCCTAGATATTTGTAAGGAAAATCCTCAAGCTACTGTGGAAAATGTAGAGAGCAGGGAAAAAAGTAAATGGAGACCTACACCTTTGGATACAGTTGTATGTAGCTTAAATTTTGGCTTGTCTTTTAGCACAAATTACTTTTAGTATTTTAAGATATATTGTGAGAATATTGTCTTAAAGATTTTCTTTATGCAGCTAACATTGCTCCTTAAATATAGATAAATATTTCTGAGTTATTTGAAGGAAATGGAGAAAATAGTGTCAAGAAAATTAAAAATAAATGCAAAAGAAACCATGAAGATAGCTGAAAAATTGTACATGCAAGGATATATCAGCTATCCCAGGACAGAGACCAATATTTTTCCAAAGGAATTAAACCTAGTCAATCTTGTTGAACAACAGAGGCAGGATCATAGATGGGGATCTTTTGCTTCGAGGATAATGGAAGAGGGAGGTCCTACTCCTAGGCAAGGAAGAAAATCTGATCAGGCAAGTTGCTGTAACATTTTGTTCTGTCTTTTGACGCAAGTGGTAGGAACCCATTATAATTCTGCTCTTTATTGGATATTTTTCCCTCTTATGACTCCAATACTTCCTCACGATGTCAGATGGACGATATACTTTATGAAAGATTACAATTGCAGTTATATGTATAATTGGACAAATCCTTGAGATTGAAAGTGAAAGAAAAATTAAAAAGCTACCGCAGAAGTAAATCTATGCTATTTGTAGCACAATTTGGATTTCGAAAAAATTCAGCCACGATAAAAGCAATTCTCACCTTATTAGAGGAATTACTGGAAAATATAGAAGATAAGCTATAACTACCATGTGTGACTTGACAAAAGTATTTGGGTCAATTCACATACAGGGTGTCCCAGAAGTCGTCAAGCCGAAACCGGGTGATAGGCAAAGTCATAACAGCTATCAGAAAAATATTTAAAAAAAATTTATGTATGTGTTTTGAAAATTATAGGTCTTTGAAAAAAATATAGAAATTTCACACCCTACGGCAGTCTGTCAACTCCTGTTACTATAAATATTAACTTTTTTTGGATTTCATTTTTACAATGTAATGATGAATAATGCATCTTCAAACTGGTGTCTCAACCTTACTGCCAACTTTTCTCGTTCAGGAAAAATTGCCACTTATTTCCCAACCAAGTATTCCAAAGTAAAACTTTGCTCAACTTTAACTGGCTGTACTGGAAAAAATGTACTACGAGAGTTTGGCAAGTAACCTTAAAAGTTGGCGCATTTAATAACGATTCCAAAATGGTATAATACTTAGAAGATTACTCGTTAACTTATGCACAATTTTTATTTGAAAAAAACTGATGAAAATTTTTTCAAATTTCCTAATTAAACAGCGATTATGAAAACGCACAAGGACCCTTAAGGATAACTGTTTGCACAACAGTGGGCGTCAAAATGCTACTGATGATGATTTACCTTTACAGCAAATGCTCAAACTGTTTTCCTTCAGCTGCAATACATGCTCGACATCTTCTTAAAAAAGATCGGGTTATTAAACGAGCGAATCCACGGTTATTAACAAACTCAGCTGCTTCCAATAGTCTTTGCCGTAGCTCAGCTACATTTTGAATCGGCTTGAAATACACTTTTTCTTTTACAGTTCCCCAGTAAAAAAAATCTAACGGATTCAAATCTGGTGACTGGGCTGGCCACTGTATTGTACCAGACCGCCCTATCCATCTGCCTGGAAAGTTTTGATCGAGATACTCTCTCACTGTGAGTGCATACTGCGCTGGGCAGCCATCATGCTGAAACCGCATGACCCTGTAAATACTCAGTGGCACGTCCTCCAATAAATTTTCTCAATGATTTTGCAAAAAACCTAAATAATCCTCAGCAGTCAAAGTCTCTGGGAACTCAAACGGACCGATTATTTTACCATTTAAAATTCCTGTCCAATGGTTTATCTTGAAGCGATATTGAGATTTATCTTCTCTCATCAAATGTGGGTTTGCTACGTGCCACTCGTGTAGGTTATGCAGGTTCATGTACCCATCTTTCTTAAATGTGGTCTCATCCGACCATAAAATTTTTTCAAAGAACTGTGGATCTTTCCTGTGTCTTTCTAACATTGTGCGACAAAAAGCAACTCGGAGCTCATAATCCCGGGGCAGGAGAGGTTGAACACGCTGTATGTGTTATGGATCTTTATCATTTATGGGGAATGCAGATGCAACGCTAGTGCTGCAGCGAGACTTTACTGTGAGAGGTACCCGAATGCAGCTCGTCATCCAGATCATCGAGTGTTCACAAATGTGCACCGCTTACTGTTCTCAGAGGGCCAACTACCAAACCAATCACACGGTGAGGAAAGATCTTTCCTTCCTTACGAAGACGTGGTGCTAGGAGCTGTCGAAGAAGCCCGAGTACTTCAGTGCGTGCAATAGAACTAAAAACAGGTGTGCCCAAAAGTACAGCCCATAGAATCTTGCAAAAAAACGTGCTCCATCCATACCACGTACAGCGTGTTCAAGCTCTTCTGCCCCGGGATTATGAGCCCCGAGTTGCTTTTTGTCGCACAATGTTAGAAAGACACAGGGAAGATCCACGGTTCTTTGAAAAAAATTTATGGTCAGATGAGACCACATTTAAGAAAGATGGGTACATGAACCTGCATAACTTACAAGAGTGGCACATAGCAAACCCACATTTGATGAGAGAAGATAAATCCCAATATCGCTTCAAGATAAACCACTGGACAGGAATTTTAAATGGTAAAATAATCGGTCCGTTTGAGTTCCCAGAGACTTTGACGGCTGAGGTGTATTTAGGTTTTTTGTAAAATCATTTAGAAAATTTATTGGAGGGCGTGCCACTGAGTATTTACAGGGACATGTGGTTTCAGCATGATGGCTGCCCAGCGCACTATGCACTCTCAGTGAGAGAGTATCTCGATCAAAACTTTCCAGGCAGATGGATAGGGCGGTCTGGTACAATACCGTGGCCAGCCCGGTCACTAGATTTGAATCCGTTAGATTTTTTTTACTGGGGAACTGTAAAAGAAAAAGTGTATTTCAAGCCGATTCAAAATGTAGCTGAGCTACGGCAAAGACTATTGGAAGCAGCTGAGTTTGTTAATAACCGTGGATTCGCTCGTTTAATAACCCGATCTTTTTTAAGAAGATGTCGAGCGTGTATTGCGGCTGAAGGAAAACAGTTTGAGCATTTGCTGTAAAGGTAAATCATCATCAGCAGCATTTTGACGCCTACTGTTGTGCAAACAGTTATCCTTAAGGGTCCTTGTGCGTTTTCATAATCGCTGTTTAATTAGGAAATTTTGAAAAATTTTCATCAGTTTTTCTTCAAATAAAAATTGTGCATAAGTTAACGAGTAATCTTCTAAGTTTTATACCACTTTGGAATCCTTATTAAATGGGCCAACTTTTAAGGTTACTTGCCAAACTCTCGTAGTACATTTTTTTCCAGTACAGCCAGTTAAAGTTGAGCAAAGTTTTACTTTGGAATACTTGGTTGGGAAATAAGTGGCAATTTTTCCTGAACGAGAAAAGTTGGCAGTAAGGTTGACACACCAGTGTGAAGATGCATTATTCATCATTACATTGTAAAAATAAAATCCAAAAAAAGTTAATATTTGTAGTAACAGGAGGTGACAGACTGCCGTAGGGTGTGAAATTTCTATATTTTTTTCAAAGACCTATAATTTTCAAAACACATACATAAAATTTTTTAAATATATTTCTGATAGCTGTTATGACTTTGCCTATCACCCGGTTTCGGCTTGACGTCGACTTCCGGGACACCCTGTATATTATTGAAAAAACTAGAATACTATGGCATAAGAAATTCCGATCTAGCGCTATTCCGTTCGTATTTGTCAAATAGGAAGTAGTATGTAAGCTCTGAAGGCACCGCCTCTGACGTTTTGCCTATTTGCAATGGGGTTCCGCAGGGATCAGTACTTGGCCTCCCGCTATTTTTAATGTACAGTGAAATGTTTTTAAAGTAAAACTTCAAACCTTAGAAAAAAAGGTTTGTTACCTTTAGATATATACAAAGTATGTCCATACGTATAACATAATATGTAGTAACACAAAACACTTTAAGGACGCAAAAATTCATATATTGTCGTTTGTCTTCTCTTTTTCTTCAAAATGGCGTCTTGAAATCGTGTTTCTAATTTAGAAAGAAGCTCCAAAGGCTCTCCTGATTTTCGACAAAACATTTGAGCTGCTTGGTCATTGTAGGAGCTTTACCATAATTTGGAATAGCTCTTGTTGGTACTGGAACCTCATCATCCGAATCTTCGGAAAATTCGTGTATTTCAACTGGATTTTAAATTTCTTGCGCTGAATCTGGATAGTTTAAGAAAATACCTATTTCCAGGCACATCCCCCAATACACCCCACAAAGTACGCCAACAATCTTGCGGGCAATGATCAAAGACTGTACGAGTACATTGTTCGACATTTTTTGGCATGCCTGCACAAAGACGCGAAAGGATTCGAGACCACGGTCAACGTCGACATCGCTGGGGAGAAATTCCAAGCCAAAGGCCTTGTTATCCTTGAGAAAAATTATCTAGATGTGTACGTGTATGACAAGTGGAATGCAAAGGAGATTTGGAGCTACAGGACTGGGGATACCTTCATGCCTACAGTATTAGAAATGGTGAGACACTATATGTGTTGCAAAGAAAATATGATTTGTTTGTTTGAGTCGTCTTTTTGGTTTTTATCATTTTGAACAGATATACGAGGGATGTCTTTTAAGTTTTGAATATGGAAATAAAACAACATGGTAGGTACTTTCTAAATGTATTCTCCACAAAGATTAATACACATCTGCATGCGCTCGAACCAATTTTCGTAGCACTTATTCCACTCTTTTGCTGGCAGATCCATAATGGCATTTTTGAATGCGTCAACTGCTTCTTCTGGTGACTGTAACCTTTGACTACGCAGTCCGTCGGTTGCATACTGACCTGACACACTGACCCCGACCCAGTTCAGTCGTCGGGTTGAGCCAGTGACCTTGTACCAGTCGGTGATGTCGCGGCTACAGGACGGTATTCAGATATTTTTGATGTTGCAGAGCCCTTTATCTCGGTTCCCTTAAGACATTGGTGTATATGGTACTAAGAAAAATTGCTTATGTTTTCAAGATCTACACGTCGTGTAAAGGAAAACCCCAACTTTGCGGACACCCTGTATAATATATTTACTGGAATGTCTGATCCATGTTAAAAACAATTATGATGATCACAGAACTCCAAAAGAGATTCATAAATATAACACACAAGGTTCAACAATGATTTAATACCAGAATACACAAGACTATCAAGGACTTTTTACTGCATAGACGAATTTTTAACAAATAATTTTGCCGATTTTGTTCCATAATTGCGGATTATTCGTTTTATTAGATTGTGATTGTTTTAGATTTTGTTTATGTTTCTTTAGGCGTATGGTATAAATTTAGTGCCGTTTTTCAACGACTTGTTCGAGAAGTTTTGTATTGTATCTCTCAAAGCATATATAGTGTTAGAGTGGCGCATGGAAAAAAGTAATGTTTAAATTTGACTGATGCTATAATAAATTTTGATTCGCTGGTTTTGTGTACATACTTTCTGCACTATATTATCTGTTTATAGGTTGGAGGAAGCACATCGCCTCCAAAACTGTTGACAGAAGCGGATCTCATAGCCTTGATGGAAAAGCACGGCATAGGCACGGACGCCACACATGCTGAACATATAGACAAAATCAAGTCGAGAGAATATGTTGGACTGCACGAAAATATTTACTTTGTCCCTGGAAATCTGGGAATGGGGCTTGTGGAGGGGTGAGAAATAATTATTTTATGATCGGTGGCTTTTTTCAGTTCTGCTAACTTTAAGGTTTTTCAAAAAGCTCCCTATGACTATCGCGGTGCCTCGGTTTTTAGGCATTAGAACATAAGTGATTGTATGATAATTTTTTAGATGAGTTGTGCTTCCATTAATTTTCAACTAGCTAAAACCATTCTTACTCTTACATATTCTATATACTGTATGAGACAGTACCAATGATAAAACCTGATGGAACAGGCAACCAGAAGATTCAAATATTTTTTCATTGAGATGACTCCATTTTTAAATTTGTCTGATCGGTGCCTTTTTTCCACCCAGCTACAATAACATTGGCTTGGAAGTGTCTTTAGCCAAACCAGTCCTTCGAGCAGAGTTCGAAAACGATCTAAAACTGATCTGTGACGGATTAAAAAGCCCAGAAACGGTTCGAACTGAACAGATCGCGAAATACAGAGCCGTATTCGAAACGGTGATGGAGAAAATCAGATGTTTGGACGAAAGTTTGGGTCATAGGCTGGACGATAGGCCGCAGGATGTACCTCAAGATCGACCTACCTCTGGCGGAGGAGCGAATAATTTCAGGTCCGTTTTGAAGTGTCCGAAATGTGGGAGCGACATGTTCGTCAGGTAAGTTTAGTTGAAATTTTTGTACGAAAATATCAACGTACGGAAAAGTGATAATCGCAGTTTAGGATTTTCCCTTTGGCTATTCTTGAATTTGACATTGACAATGACTTTACAGCCCAAATCAAGTCCAATACGATTTTTAAATGGGACCCTATGCTTTTGACTCCGGGAATAGACAGAGCGGAAAAGTCTTTCGTTCAGATATGGCTTTAGGCAAAAATTATTTCGACCTTGAACTTTTTTGTCAAGACCGCGTTTAAAAATACTTCGAGGATCTTTCTAAAGATATAGGGATCCAAAGGGAGCAGGCGCTTCAACTTTTCTCTGGCGACTCACTGATGACCTTCAAACTGACCTTTACCGTGACGTGACCTTGACGATCAAATCGATGTTAATACAATTTACTTTGATAGTATACTCTGTTCTTGTGACCCCGGAAATGATTAGAGCGAAAAATTTTGCGGTCGGATATGGCCTTAGGCAAAAAGTATTGCGACCTTGAACGTTCTTTTCAGGGTCATATAAAAAATCTACGCTTGAAAACACTTTGAGGTTCTTTTGCAAGACAAAGCAAAAATCAGGTAGCAAAGACAGCAGGCGCGCCAACTCACTGATGACCTTAAAACTGACTTTCACCGTGACCTTGACGGTAAAATCAATGTTAATATAATTTACTTTGATGGTACTCTATACTTTTAACCCCAGAAATTTCACGTTCAGACATGGCCTTAGGCAAAAAGTTTATCGACCTTGAACGTTTTGGTCAAGGTCATCACAAAAACCTAGCGATTGAAAATATTTCTGTGATTTTTCTGAAGATAAAGCAAAAACAAGGACCAAAAGAAGCTTCAACTTTCCTCCGAGTAATGACCTTGGAACTGACTTTTGCTATGACCTTGGCGGTCAAATCGATTTTAATACAATTTACTTTGGTAGTATACTCTATACTATTTCTACGGAAATGATTAGAGCGAAAAACTTCGCGTTCAGATATGGCCTTAGGTAAAAAGTATTGCGACCTTGAACGTTCTTTTCAAGGTTATCATAAAAAACCCGTTTGAAAATAGTTCGGGAATCTCTCTGAAGAAGCCAAAATAAGGAGCCAAAGTACTCTATACTTTTGACCCCAGAAATGATTAGAGAGAAAAATTTCACGCTCAGATATGGCCTTAGGTAAAAACTTTTTCGTCCCTGAACGTTTTGGTCAAGGTCATCACAAAAACCCCGCGATTGAAAATATTTCGGGGATCTTTCTGATGATAAAGCAAAAATAAGGACCCAAAGGAGCTTCAACTTACCTCTGACTGATGACCTTGAAGCTGACCTTCACTATGACCTTGACGGTGAAATCCATGTTAATTCAGTTTACTTTGGTAATACACTATACTTCTGACTCCGGAAATGACTACAGCCAAAACTTTTACGTCAGATATGGCCATAGGTAAATATTGTTTCGACCTTGAACGTTCTGGTCAAGGTCACCATAAAAACCTAGCGTTTACTAAAATAGTTAAGGAATCTTTCTGAAGATAAAGCAAAAAATAAGAATGTAAATGTAGCAGGAGCTTCAGCTTTCCTCCAGCAATTCACTGGTGACCTTGACTGTGACCTTCTCGGTAAAATCAATGTTAATACAATTTACTTTGATGGCACTCTATACTTTTGACCCCAGAAATTATTAGAAAGAAAAATTTCACGTTCAGATATGGCCTTAGTCAAAAACTTTTTCGTCCTTGAACGATTTGGTCAAGGTCATCACAAAAACCTAGCGATTGAACATATTTCGGGGATCTTTCTGAAGATATAGCAAAAATAAGGACCCAAAGGAGCTTCAACTTTTCTCTGACTGACGACCTTGAGACTGACCTTCACTATGACCTTGACAGTGAAATCGGTGTTAATACAATTTACTTCGATAATACTCTATACTTCTGACTTCGGAAATGATTAGAGCGAAAACTTTTACGTCAGATATGGCCTTAGGCAAATATTGTTTCGACCTTGAATGTTCTGGTCAAGGTCACCATAAAAACCTAGCGTTTGAAAATAGTTCGGGAATCTCTCTGAAGAAGCCAAAGGTAGCAGATGCCACAACTTTCTTTTGGAGATTTGCGAATGACCTTGAATCTGACTTTTACCGTGACCTTGACGGCCAAATCAATCGTAATACAATTTACTTTGATGGTACTCTATACTTTTGAACCCCAGAAATGATTAGAGAGCAAAATTTCACGTTCAGATATGGCTTAGGCAAAAACTTTCTCGTCCTTGAACATTTTGGTCAAGGTCACAAAAACCCCGCGATTGACTGACCTTCACTATGACCTTGACAGTGAAATCGGTGTTAATACAATTTACTTCGATAATACTCTATACTTCTGACTCCGGAAATGATTAGATCGAAAACTTTTACGTCGGATATTTCCATAGGTAAATATTGTTTCGACCTTGAATGTTCTGGTCAAGGTCACCATGAAAACCTAGCGTTTGAAAATAGTTCGGGAATCTTTCTGAAGAAGCCAAAATAAGGAGCCAAATGTAGCAGAAGCCACAACTTTCCTTTGACGATTCACGGATGACCTTGAATCTGACTTTTACCGTGACCTTGACGACCAAATCAATGTTAATACAATTTACTTTGATATATTTTACATATTTCGACCTTGAACGTTCTGGTCAAGGTCATTATACAAACCTGCGTTTGAAAATATTTCGATGATCTTTCTGAAGATGAAGCAAAACTAGGGACCCCAAAGGCAGCAGCAGCTATAACTTTTCTCTGGCGATTCACTGATGACCTTGAAACTGACCTTTGTCACGACTTTGGCAGTCCAATCAATGACCCCGTAAATGATTAGAGTAACATCGTTTACGTCAGAGAAGGCCTCAGGCAAAAATTATTTCAACATTGACTGTTCTAGCCAAGGTCATCCTCAAAACAACCTGCGTTCCAATATATGTGGATCTTTTTGAAGATAAAGCAAAAATATGGACCCAAATGCAGTAGGAGCTTTAACTTTTCTCTGGTGACCTTGATACTGATCTTTATTATGACCTATAGTAAATCAATGTTAATACATTTATGGAAATGAATAGAGCTGAAAATTCAACGTTCAAATATGACCTTGGTGAACATGACATAACGTTTTGGTCAAGGTCATCATCAAAAACACGTTTTCTAAATATTTTCACAGTTGACCTTGAAACTGGCCCTTACCATGAGTTTGACTTTCAAATCAATGCCAATACAATTTTTTTAACGGTGCTAAATATACTAAGCGACATATAAATCCGAACACCCAGTTTAAATGGTTTTATTTTAATAAAAGTTGGTGAATGTATTTATCTTACTGTAAATAACAAGTGAAAAAATTTTCAGCCTTATCAGTTGGACATTCCGGTTTTTATACTGCTTTTTTTTAATTCACTAACGCTCTAAAAATGAATATTTCAGCCGCAGTAAAGAATCAACGTTGGCGGATTTTGGTTCTTGACATCCTTTACGATCGGTTACGATGCCTAGAGTACGGAGACCTGTACGATTTCGTCAACTTAGTGAGTTTGATAGGGGCCGTATAGTGGGACTTCGGGAAGCTGGACTTTCTTTTCGGGCAATTGCAGTTAGAGTGCAAAGAAGTGTAGACACTGTGGTTAGGTGTTGTCAGGCATGGCTTCGAGAAGGCCGTACGCAAAGAGCAAGGGGCACTGGACGCCGCCGTAGAATAACAGACCGTGAAGATCGCCGCCTAAGATTATTGGCCTTAAGGGACCGTTTCTCCACTACCAGGTCCATTGCAAATGAATGGTTTGCACAACACGGAAGACCTATTGGCATGCGAAGTGTTTACCGACGAATGAGAAGTTTTGGCTTGTTTTCATACCGGCCACACTGGGTCCTCCCTTTAACTCGAGAACACCGACGTAATCGCCTTGAGTGGTGCAGACAACGGTCACTCTGGGATCAGGAATGGAACAGTATTGTCTTTAGTGACGAATCTCGATTTTGTTTAGGCATGCACGATGGTCGTGCCAGGGTTAGAAGGCGACGTGGTGAAAGGAGGAATCCACAGTTTTTTGTTGAAAGACATGTTCATCACACTGTTGGAGTTATGGTTTGGGGTGCTATAGCTTATGGTTCCAGGTCACCTTTAATCTTCATCAGAGGTAACATGAACGCGCAGCGTTATATCCACGAAGTTCTAGAACCCCATCTTTTACCCTATCTTGACACCCTGGCAGTTCCAACTTTCCAACAAGATAATGCCCGACCACATGTTGCAAGAGTCACAATAGACTTCTTTCAACATAATGATGTCACATTGTTACCATGGCCACCAAGATCTCCCGACTTATCCCCAATTGAGCACGTGTGGGATATGATGGGTAGGAGATTGCTCAATTTGCAACGTCCTCCTCAGATTCTAGAAGCACTTGGAGAGGAGTTGGTGGTTGCCTGGAATGAGATACCACAGGAGGACATTGACCACTTGATCAAAAGCATGCCTAGGCGCGTTGGAGAATGCGTAGCACATCAGGGTGCATCCACACATTATTTAAATTCAAAGGGCTTTAAAGCAGTGCAATCATTTTGAAATTTTTATCATTTACTTATTATGATTCATTAAGTACTTATACAAAATTTTATTAAAATAAAACCATTTAAACTGGGTGTTCGGATTTATATGCCACTTAGTATACTTCTGAGCCTGGGAATGACTAGAGCCAAAAATTTCAGGTTCAGACATGATCTTGGTCGATTATTGTTTTCATTTGTAATATCCAGGTTAGTTTTTGTCCAAATCAACGATATGCAGGAGTTTTTGAAATGTCTCTCATAGGAATGCTCGAAGGTCAAAACTCTAATTGTTTTTATTGTAAATAGGGAAAGACAAAATGGTGGTGGAAAATACATCGGTTGTGCAAACTTTCCTAACTGCAAGAACGCAATATGGTTTACTTCTAATGTTGAAAGTATAGAAGTTATGGATGGGCACTGCCCTGACGTGAGTATTTCTCCATCGCTTGTCTACATAATTTTATGCAAATACACGATTAATATTATTTGCGGTCAAATGTATCTTTTCATTATACATATTGCAATATGTTGCATTAGCACCAGTGAATATCTGCTGTTCCCACTAGGTAAGCTGTCATTTATTGCTGACGAAAAGCCTAAAGAGAAATGTTTATATCTTGTGCAGTTTGACAAAATCAGCTTAGTGAACATCGATCTTTTCAGTGTGGCCCAAACACGAAAAAGTTAAAAATGAAGTTCAGACAGAATCCTTTCCCTGGCGAGCCAAATCCAAATGTGTTATGTATAGCAGGTTGCGAAGAAAACGTTTTAGAGGCTTTGGATATCAGTCGGAATTCGGTGACATCTCGTAAGCAAAAAAAACACTCTGCAAGATATTTTCGGTAACGACCAGTTACATTTTAGGACAAAATGGTACTGTAGCATCTAACAACGCAACCACACATAACGCTACAACTAACGATAGTGTGAATCCAAGTTCTCCTAGTGCAAACAACTGGAATTTCCCCTCGAATCCTCACAGTACCACTACGTCTTCGAGAAATACCGGACAGACGAACGACTGGTCAGGAGGTAGTACCACAAATCGGCCATCTTTAGGATCTGTACCAATGAATTCAAATACGGCTGTGGGTACGGGCAATGAGGATATAGTGTGTTCGTGCAACAAAACGGCCATTCTGTTGACAGTGCGAAAAGATGGACCAAATAAAGGTAACAAATAATAGTAATTTGTAACATGATCTATCGCATGTATAGTGTGAATTTTCTTCAAAATATAGTAAAAGCTTTTTAATAATTCGATTAAATCATCCCCATTTTAATCCGTTCCGGCTTAAAAAAAATTTGTAGCGCATGGCAATGTATATCAATACTTAATAGCAAACCTCATGTGTCCATTGTTTTATTTCTATAATCTTAAAAATTCCACGTATTTCTGAAAAACCATTTACCAGCAACCTCAACGACTAAGTCGGTAACAAAAGTTGAACTGATTTATCTTGGTTGCTGTTTGCTTTTTAGCTTCTAAAGACGACAGCACAGTTTGTCGAAAGCTCGAGATTTAAGTTACAAGAGTTCAATATAACGGGTGATTTTTTAAGAGGTATAGGTTTTGATTTTCAAAAAAAAACACAAAAAATTTGAAAAAACGATTAAATCTTCATTTGAGTCGATAGAACGGTCGATATAATTTAATGTTTAAAGATTATTTCATGTAAATGTTGGCCGCGGCTCCGCTTTAGATTGCCAATGCGCAAGGTCCAATTTTGGCACACTCTCTCCAACATATCGGCCGGTATCTAACGAATAAATGCTTCAATATTGGCTTCCTGCGCGTCAATCGTTGCTAGTTTATCCCTGTAGACATGGCCCCACAAGAAATAGTCCAACGGCGTTAAATCACACGGTCTAGGCGGCTAATTGACGGGCCCAAACGTGAGATAAACCGTTCACCGAACTCGCCTCTCAATAGGGCCATTGTTTCGTGTGCGGTGTGGCATGTGGCACCGCCTTGTTGAAACCACATGTCAGCCAAGTCCAGCTCTTCCATTTTTTGCAAAAAAAAGTTTGTTATCATCGCACGGTAGCGCTCGCCATTCACAGTTACGTTCCGGCCATTGTCGTCTTTGAAGAAGTACGGCCCGATGATGCCACCGGCCCAAAATCCACACCAAACAGTGATTTTTTCGGGATGCATTGGTAGCTCTTGCAATGCTTCTGGCTGGTCTTTACTCCAGTTGCGGCAATTTTGCTTGTTAACGTACCCATTCAACCAGAAATGAGCTTCGTCGCTGGACACAATTTTTCGATAAAAATGTGGATCTCCCTCCAACTTTGCCAGCGCCCATTCACCAAATTGGAAACGTCGTGGGAGGTCGTGTGGCTTCAATTCTTGCACCAGCTGTATTATATAAGGTTTTATACCCAAATCCTGTCGCAAAATTTTTCAAAGGCCGACCAAATTGCCCATAAATTGGAAGCAGTGCTCGATGCACTCTCTTAACCGAGCATGAATTTTGATAGTAAAATTCAATAATTTGCAAGCGTTGTTCGTTCGTAAGTCGATTCATGGTTAAATTATATACCAAACTGAACAAGTTTGACAATGACACAAGACACGATTCACGCGTCATCTGTCAAAAACAGTGTTGCCAAAAAGATACTAGCAAAAAAATCACCCATTACATTGTCGATTTCCAATAAACAATCTAGATTACCTAACTATCACCTGACAAAATCCTGTTCAAAACTATTATTTTTTTATATTCCAGGAAGGCAGTTTTACAAATGTGGCGACGGCGCCTGCAACTTTTTCTTATGGGCACCAGATCCTGATGCGTCAACGTCGGAAAGTGCAAGGACTAGCTTCGGGAATGCCCAACAGAATGTGAGGTACACCTTAAATTTGATACTAGTTCTTAACCTTCTAATAAATTTCCTTAGATTTTATAGAACAAAATGTCGCACAAAAGCTACTGGAAATGAAAGACTCTTTTCTTTAATTTCGAGCCATTATTCTTAAAATATTAATGGACGATCATTTTTTGAAATAGGTGTACCTGTGGACAACCAGCCTGTCTTAGAACTGTAAATAAAGAAGGGCCTAACAAAGGTAGGCAGTTTTATTGCTGTCCAAAACCTATGGGTGAGGGATGCAAATTTTTCAAATGGGCAGACGAGGTAAGACATTGAATTATCATGTTTTGAAAATATGATCGATGCTTCTTCATACATGTTTGTGCATTTTGAGCATGTCTCGGCGATATTTATAGAATAAGAAGGAACGCCCAGAAATAACAAAAAAAGGTCTAAAAATACTGTTACTCTCTTCTATACTTCTTCTCCAGCCTTCCACCAGCATTTGGATTGTTTCTGTAGAATATTTTTCTACGAGAGTCGATTTATATAAAATTATTCAAAAATACAATAGATGCTTCAAAAACGTTAGTAGCGTAGAAAATAATGTTCATATCTCTTTGGTATGAGTCAACATTTCCCAATTTCTATAACATTGGTGTAGCCGAAAATTGAACTACACCCTATTTCACGAGTATCCATGACGCTTTGACGTCTACTCCGAAGATATATTTTTTGTCGTAAAGGTTTGTTTGTTTATATGAAATCTTCATGTTACTTTTTACGCCCTAAAGATATTGCAGTCACTGTTTTCTGAATCACCCTCTATGTAAAAAGTTCGACTTCGGCCTTCCATCCTAACCATGTGGAACTTCGTACATCCAGAACTGGCCGATACGACCGCTCCTTTCTCGCTAGGGTGTCGAGGTTGTGGAACCATCTACTTGAGGAGGCAGTTCTACTAACCTTAGCAATCAACTTTCTTTAAGTTCCTCCCTGGTACGAGGGATGTCTTTTAAGTTTTGCATATAGAAACATAGGCCGCGCGGATCGAACGTCAGCACTGAATCTTAACCTCACTATTTAGTAAACCTAAATTCAAAGTCTCACAACGATACGTCCAGTGTTCTCACTACAGTGAATTTTTAAGCGTCACCAAGGCATTAGAAAAATGGAACTCAACCGAGACCATTTTTGTGTTTCGAAAAAGATGGTCGCGACTTTTGTGTCAAAAGCGGGTCACATTGCAACAATTCCACTTAATGAGCAAAGAACTGTTACTGCGGATTGGTATACCACCATTCGTTTGCCAAAAATCATCGCCGAGCTTCGAAAAATCAACCCCGAAAGAAGAATCATCCTCCACCAAGACAAAGCAAGCTCGCACACAGCCCAAAAAACAAGGCAGTATGTCACGGAAGAAAACGTGGAATTATTGGACCATCCTGCATATAGTCCCGATCTAAGTCCTAACGATTTCTTTACTTTCCCGAAAATTGAAAGAGACTATGTGGTCAAAGGTTCCAGTCACCAGAAGAAGCAGTTGACGCATTCAAAAATGCCGTTTTCGATCTGCCAGCAAACGGGTTCGAGCGCATGCAGATGTGTATTAATCTTCGTGGAGAACACTTTAAAAAACAATAAAGTCATTTAAAACTACCTGTCGTGTTGTTTTATTTCCATATGCAAAACCTAAAGGACATCCTCGTATTTAGGGTTTGGCCTGCGCCGCTGCTGTTTTCAATTTTACCCCCAACCACACAGGCGCTACCTAGAGGAAGCGAACTTGGATGAAAATGCCATTGGAGTTGTTAACTTGTACTCTTTTGGATCGATCTAGAGAAATTAATTTTGCGGTTTGTTGCGCGCAAATTTAAATTTGAATGGAGAATCGCACGCATTTGTTTTTGTCCACTGTGTGCTTGAGAAATTGTCCGACTGTGTTGTATAAAAAAGTAATTGAATGCCATTCAGGATGACCCTGGTTTTGGAGGAGGAAACGATGGTGATGGAGGGGGTGGGGGAGGAGGAGGAGGCGGTTTCAGAACTGCAAACACCTCAAACTGGCACGGAAAAGCTGCAACATCCAGCAAAAAGAAGAACGACAATCGGTCGGCGCCTTATAACGCATCGGCCAAACCCAGAGCGAAACGAAAATGCGGCATCTGCGGAGAAGAAGGTATATTTATAGTATACACAACTTTTGTCTCGAACATTTTTTCATACAATTGACCGTTTTTGACAATACAAAATGCTGTAATCATTATTTACTTATTTTCAGGTCACATTAGGACTAAATGTCCTAATAACAACTGAAGTTGTTGAAGTGGGTTATGTATAAGCATAAATGTGTAAAGTATCGCCCTAAGTTGTAAATATATCTAAAATCTTAATATATTTTTATTTTTTCTTAGAATAGACATCTAATTCTTCCCGTTCTTGTTTTTGTATTGTTGCTTCAGTGAGCTGAAATGAATTTCAAGATTGTTAATAAAACTTTAAACATCTAACTACAACGGTAACTGCTGCTTTAAGGCGGTATCACAGCCGACGTCAACTACGAGCCGTGAACAAAGAAATCTGGCAACGTAGGTGGTAGTGTTACTCCCGCCGCTGCTTGCTGCATCGACGCAACTCGTGCTCAAAACGCTGAGAAAACATAACCTTTTCAATTTGTGATTTTGGAATCCCAGAGGCTGTAATTAAGAGATAAGCTTGTTTTCTAAGCTTCAAAGTGTGTGTATGTGTTCAAAGTGATCGGTGACTATAATATATGAGAAGTAGATTCCAGTTGTAGTGCTTCTGTGCTTTAAAAATAAACTAAGAAGTGTGACTGTGGCTGTTCGTGCCTCAGGACGCTAAGGATTTCAACTATTGAAAACGTGCAAATTCAGGTTGTATTTTTCTTTTTTCATTTATCAAGTATTTGACGCAGACAATATGCTTCGTTGTTGCTGTGTTCCTTTATGCAATGCAAACTATAATTCTGCTTTGAAAACAGAAAGCTATGTTTCAACTTTTCGCTTCCCAAGTACCGAAAGTCTGAAAAACAAATGGCTTATGGCAATTCCCAGAAAAAATTGGACACCTTCAAAATATTCAGCTGTGTGCAGTCGTCATTTTAGAGAATCGGATATCATCAGGACAGAAAATATAGTTTTGGCGGATGGAACAGTCCAAAATAATATACCTTTGAAATATCCAAAATTGAAAGAAAATGCTGTTCCCTCCATTTTCCCAAACTTGCCATCATATCTTTCAAAAACTGAAGCACCCAAAAGAACTGACCCAATGCAAAGAAAACAAACATTAATTGAGAAACATGAAAAAGCTATCCAGAATTTCGATGATATGGATAAGATCAAAGATAAATTTAGTAAAATGTGGATTTGAAGTTATTTTTGTTGTTACTGATAATCACCGAATTAATAGAGCAATGTTCAGGAAATTAGCAAAGGATTCATCAGAAAATTATTCTATTCCAAATCCACATAATCCTGATAAGAACAGATATTTAACTTATGATGTTGTCCATATTTTCAAGAGTATCAGAAATAATTGCTATGCTAAATTTGAAAACATTCGTGCTGTATATCAATTGGAAAAAGAAGCTGTAGTTAAGAAAGCATATAAATTAAATTATAAAACATGCATCCAAATTCATTTGAAAGGCAAAATGTAAATTTTCTAGATAATTTATTCCATCACTCAACAATAGATGCTATGAAAGAATTAAAGTTTAATGATGCTGCACACTTTTTGGAAATAATCAGGAATTGGTGGGATATTGTCAGTAATACAAGTGTAATAAAAGGAGAATTGAAGCGAAACGAATTTTGTAAGCCTATTACCAATAAATATGATTATAGAGTACAATTTTTAAAAAAATTCCTGATATGGTTAGAAAAATGGCATAATCTTGAGAATAATAATGGACACCTGACACCAGAAACATATACAGCTCTATATCAAAGCACGCTGACTCTACTTAATATAATTGAATATTCATTTAATCAATTTGACATTGAGTATGTATTGCCTGGAAAATTCACCACTGATAATTTAGAAAAACGATTTGGCAATTATAGACTTTTATGTGGCTGCAATTACAATGTGTCATATGATGAAATTTTAAATGCTGCAAAGAAAATACGGCTAAAGCATATTTTCAATGAAAATAAATCCTCATTTTATTTAGCAGAAATTAAAACAAGGTTCCAAAACTGCTTAGAAACTCAAGAAAATTTTGATTTCTTGACGTCGGCTGTGGCGGTATCGTCAGTCGTCCGACAAATTGTAGAACGCCTTTATGGCCTCCTTGGGTTTCATAGTTTTTCCTGTCCTTTAGAAAGGCAATGTTACAAATGTTTATTTGCACCAAATTGTTCATACTTTTATTTTTATCAGCATGCAACCTTTTTCAATTCACAAAGAGAACATAACCTCACAATAGGCGAGCGCTGACCCGCTGACGCTGACATGGAACAGTAGAAATCTAGAAATACCCCAGCCTTTCTAAAGGAGAGAAAATACTATGAAAATCTAGGAGGTGATAAAGGACTGACGATACTGTCTCCGAAGTGTTTTTTTAAGTTGTATGATTATTATAGTTTTAGAAACTTACCATGTTAAGCATCATTTCATACTTCAGTTTCAACATATTATTTTCCTCTTCAACTTCATGTAGCTTTTTCTTTAATTTCTGCTTTGTTTTGTGAATACTACCTTGCTCTCCTCCTTCTGAAATTTTAAATATAATTTTGGATGCACGTGGTACTTAACAAGAAACTCAAAAAGGAATCGATTAGTACAATCTTAATTTCCCAGGAATAATACTTGCAATAAAAAATGGGTATGTTATTTTCGACCAACATGTTCGATAATTTTCGTAAACAAACAACTTATTCACACTTACCTGGTATCCATTCTCCATCATCAAATTTGAATTTCTGATCGCCTAGATTCAAATATACTACCCTGCCTTCAGATACTAGATCTTGTACGTTATTTTTCACCAAATCGATACTGCTTTTCCGAATAGGAGTTCTTTTGGGAGAAAACTTGTTTCCGAAAAGAGGCATTTCGAATTTGGTGCATCATTCAACTTGAGCGCCGTTTCCATAGTAACGCATTTTGACACGGAACACTAACAAAAAAAGCACTGCAACAAGAGATATGAAACTGAACTGTGCTGAAAATACACGTATTCGTATCTACCATTTTCCCTCCTCCAGCTGTCAATAGAAAATAGTGAATTAAAAAAATTATGGGAAGGAAAATGGCAGATGCCAGTTCTTGTCTCCGTTATAATGGATCCTTGATTCTTATCTTACCCCCATCTATGCCTATAGATAGTTTTTGTTTTGTGAATCTGTCAAAAGAAAAGTCAAAATAACGTAAACGTGTGACATCTGGAAAATCGTATTTTTCTTTAAGGCCCTGGATCGCCGTAAAAATGGGTATTTTGGAAAAGATATCAGAAATTGAGAAAGAGATATCAAGGACACAAAAGAATAAAGGTGAATCTTACGCTGCTCTAATACCGTTAAAGCCTGACTAACCTAACTTTTTTTAGCTACCGAGTACCATTTGGGTCTTTTGAAAGCAAAATTAGCAAAATATAGGTCTCAGCTGTTGGAACCGTCGAAAAAAGGAGGTGAAAAGGGTGAAGGTTTTGATGTATTGAAAAGTGGAGATGCTCGAGTCGCTCTTATTGGATTCCCCTCAGTAGGAAAGGTATAAAAAACTAGAATTGTGTGCTATGAACATATTACTGAATAAAGACATGTTCTACATAATGATCACAGTACTCAGCTAAATGCTGTTGCTTGAAAAAGATTGTGTAACAGTTGCACTTTAAATATACAAGATTTGTTTTGATAAATTCAAAATTTGTATTTTTTTATTTTAGTCAACATTGCTATCTACTTTAACTAAAACCGAGAGCGAAGCAGCATCATATGAATTCACAACTCTGACTTGCATACCAGGAGTTATAGATTACAATGGAGCCAACATTCAGTTGCTAGATTTACCTGGTATTATTGAGGGTGCTGCACAAGGAAAGGGAAGAGGTACGGTAACTTTTTGTTCAGAAGTTTCTCTTAAAAAGCATTCTCTTAAGTTTTAAATGCATGAGAAATATAGGTAAATCAAAAGAGGTAATTGAAAATCTTTTGTAGGTAGACAGGTTATAGCAGTAGCTCGTACAGCGGACCTGATTCTTATGATGTTAGATGCCACAAAAAAGGATGTCCATAGACATTTATTAGAAAGAGAATTGGAAAGTGTTGGAATTAGGCTCAACAAGAAGAAGCCCAATATTTATTTTAAGGTAATTTTCATAAATATGTGAGAAATTTGATTTATTTATTCATTTAGCAAAACATTATCAGCTCATATTTGTGCATTGAACCACATCATTTTAAAAATTTTAAACCAATTGACCTTTATTATGTCCTTTGTTATAATCTTGAAGACTTTTAAACTTAATAGTATCACAAGACTCTTTATAAAGTTTATCAGATTGATAATGGTACTAATGTCGCCTTGACATTGACCTTCAAGGTTGTTTGAACCTATAAACCTTGGAATCAGACCAGGCAATAATTCTCCACACTGCCTTAGATACTAATTTTCATGGTTTTCCAATCAAATTATTTTTTAGATTAAAAAAGGTGGTGGCATCTCCTTCAATTCAACACTGCCGCTCACAAAAATAGACGAAAAATTAGTCCAGCTGATATTACATGAATATAAAATATTCAATGCAGAGGTCTTGTTTAGAGAAGACTGTACAGCAGATGAATTAATTGATGTTATTTGTGCGAATCGAGTATATTTGCCTTGCCTATATGTGTACAATAAGATTGATCAGATTTCTATTGAAGAAGTGGATAGGATTGCTAGAACACCTCATAGCGTTGTTGTTAGGTGAGAAAATTGTTATTAGATATTATGTCTTTTGTCAATGAATGCTGAAGGTTAGTTCAGATATTCAATGAAATTGTGATTATTTTTCAGTTGTAATATGAAGCTCAACCTAGACTATTTGCTGGAGATTTTATGGGAATACCTTAGGCTAATCAGAGTTTACACCAAGAAACCTGGTCAACCTCCGGATTTCAGTGATGGGCTGATTTTGAGAAAAGGTGTCACTGTTGAACACGTCTGCCATGCGATCCACAGGTAACACAGCAATTACTCATTCTAATACCTTAATTTATCCAAATTGTCAGAAAAACTTGTAGTGAGAACACATTTTACCCGGGAAAGAGTCCAGATCAAATTTGTCGCATTTTTGTCTCCCAGCTAAGTATTTTGAAAAGTTTCAAACTAGGATGTTAAGGGGCTAAAATGAACGTAACCTTGGCCATGACATTCAGGGTCATTTCAAGTGGACATTTTGAAATTTCAAAATTTTTACTACGGAGTTGAAGACGAAATTCATCCCGATCAAGACGTTGAAAACAGTTTGACCTTGATGATGACCTTCAAGGTCAAGTCAACATTTCAAAAGAGAATGTTTACACTGGAAAAAGCAGGAAATTTTACGTCTGAAAATGACCTTGTTATCAAAGCTAAGGACGTGTTAAGGTTAAATGTTATTCAAGGTCAAGGTCACATTCGGTAGTAAAATTTCGTGCTTTTTCCATTTCCAATATGAAAACGATAGTTTTGCTTTCGTAATGTTTACTTGACCTTGAAGGTCATGGTCAAGGTCAACTTTGGGTGATCCTCACAAGTCGCACAACTGTGCTGTCAAACATTTTTGCTTTAGCAAGTTGTTTTTGATGTCTTCATTTGACCTTGAATTAATCCAAATTTTGCGCTCAAGGTCATCATTTTGCATTCGAACGCAACAACTTTTATTTGCTGAAAATATCCTTGACCTTGAAGTTAAGTTCGTATCAAGATTAAATGTTATTTGAGGTCAAGGTCATATTCGGGCGTAAAATTTCGTGCTTTTTCCATTGCCAATATAAAAATGAGAGTTTTACTTGACCATGAAGGTCATGGTCAAGGTTAACTTTGGCTGATCACAACTCTGCTGTGAAACATTTTTGCTACAGCAAGTTCTTTTCAATGTCACTTGACCTTGGAAATGTCATTAAATGCTGTGGTGAAGGCCATGGGGTGAAGGTCATTGCCAAGGTCAACTTTGGGTGATCCTCACAAGTCGCACAACTGCGCTGACAAACATTTTTGCTTTAGCAAGTTGTTTTTGATGTCTTCATTTGACCTTGAAATGACTTTAAATGCCATGGTTAAGGTCAAGGCTAAGGTGATATATTCGGACGTAAGATTTCCTTCTCTTTTCAATGTCGATATTAAAAAGGGGGAGTTTCATTTGAAAATATTTACTTGACCTTGGAATTACTCCAAATTTTGTGGTCAAGGTCATCATTTTGCTCTCGAACGCAACAACTTTTATTTGCTGAAAATGTCCTTGACCTTGAAGTTACGCTCGCACCAAGGTTAACTGTTATTTGAGGTCACGGTCATATTCGGGCGTAAAACTTCGTGCTTTTTCCATTTCCAATATAAAAATGAGTTTTACTTGACCCTGAAGGTCATGGTCAAGGGTGATCACAACTCTGCTGTGAAACATTTTTGCTACAGCAAGTTGTTTTCAATGTCACTTGACCTTGGAAATGTCATTAAATGCTGTGGTCAAGGTCATGGTGCGAAGGTCATTGTCAAGGTCAACTTTGGGTGATCCTCACAAGTCGCGCAACTGTGCTGTCAAACATTTTTGCTTCAGCAAGTTGTATTTGATGTCTTCATTTGACCTTGAAATGACTTTAAATGCCATGGTCAAGGTTACGGCCAAGGTGATATATTCGGACGTAAGACTTCCTCCTCTTTTCAATGTCGATATTAAAAAGGGGGAGTTTCATTTGACAATATTTACTTGACCTTGGAAATAATCCAAATTTTGTACTCAAGGTCATCATTTTGCCCTCGAACGCAACAACTTTTATTTGCTGAAAATGTCCTTGACCTTGAAGTTAAGTTCGTATCAAGGTTACATGTTATTTGAGGTCAAGGTCATATTCGGGCGTAAAACTTCGTGCTTTTACCATTTCCAATATAAAAATGAGTTTTACTTGACCCTGAAGGTCATGGTCAAGGGTGATCACAACTCTGCTGTGAAACATTTTTGCTACAGCAAGTTGTTTTCAATGTCACTTGACCTTGGAAATTACATTAAATGCTGTGGTCAAGGTCATGGGGCGAAGGTCATTGTCAAGGTCAACTTTGGGTGATCCTCACAAGTCGCACAACTGTGCTGTCAAACATTTTTGCTTTAGCAAGTTGTTTTTGATGTCATTTGACCTTGAAATGACTATAAATGCCATGGTCAAGGTTAAGGCCAAGGTGATATATTCGGACGTAAGATTTCCTTCTCTTTTCAATGTCGATATTAAAAAGCGGGAGTTTCACTTGACAATATTTACTTGACCTTGGAATTACTTCAAATTTTGTGGTCAAGTTCATCATTTTGCTCTCGAACGCCACAGCTTTTATTTGCTGAAAATGCCCTTGACCTTGAAGTTAAGCTCGTATCAAGGTTAAATGTTATTTTAGGTCACGGTCATATTCGGGCGTAAAACTTCGTGCTTTTTCCATTTCCAATATAAAAATGAGTTTTACTTGACCCTGAAGGTCATGGTCAAGGGTGATCACAACTCTGCTGTGAAACATTTTTGCTACAGCAAGTTGTTTTCAATGTCACTTGACCTTGGAAATGTCCTTAAATGCTGTGGTCAAGGTCATGGGGCGAAGGTCATTGTCAAGGTCAACTTTGGGTGATCCTCACAAGTCGCGCAACTGTGCTGTCAAACATTTTTGCTTTAGCAAGTTGTTTTTGATGTCCTCATTTGACCTTGAAATGGCTTTAAATGCCATGGTCAAGGTTAAGGAAAAGGTGATATATTCGGACGTAAGATTTCCTTCTCTGTTCAATGTCGATATTAAAAAGAGGGAGTTTCATTTGAAAATATTTACTTGACCTTGGAATTACATCAAATTTAGTGGTCAAGGTCATCATTTTGCTCTCGAACGCAACAACTTTTATTTGCTGAAAATGTCCTTGACCTTGAAGTTAAGTTCGTATCAAGGTTAAATGTTATTTGAGGTCAAGGTCATATTCGGGCGTAAAATTTCGTGCTTTTTCCATTTCCAGTATAAAAATGAGTTTTACTTGACCCTGAAGGTCATGGTCAAGGGTGATCACAACTCTGCTATGAAACATTTTTGCTACAGCAAGTTGTTTTCAATGTGACTTGACCTTGGAAATGTCATTAAATGCTGTGGTCAAGGTCATGGGGCGAAGGTCATTGTCAAGGTCAACTTTGGGTGATCCTCACAAGTCGCGCAACTGTGCTGTCAAACGTTTTTGCTTTAGCAAGTTGTTTTTGATGTCTTCATTTGACCTTGAAATGGCTTTAAATGCCATGGTCAAGGTTAAGGAAAAGGTGATATATTCGGACGTAAGATTTCCTTCTCTTTTCAATGTCGATATTAAAAAGAGGGAGTTTCATTTGAAAATATTTACTTGACCTTGGAATTGATCCAAATTTTGTGGTCAAGGTCATCATTTTGCCCTAGAACGCAACAACTTTTATTTGCTGAAAATGTCCTTGACCTTGAAGTTAAGTTCGTATCAAGGTTAAATGTTATTTGAGGTCAAGGTCATATTCGGGCGTAAAATTTCGTGCTTTTTCCATTTCCAATATAAAAATGAGTTTTACTTGACCCTGAAGGTCATGGTCAAGGGTGATCACAACTCTGCTATGAAACATTTTTGCTACAGCAACTTGTTTTCAATGTCACTTGACCTTGGACATGTCATTAAATGCTGTGGTCAAGGTCATGGGGCGAAGGTCATTGTCAAGGTCAACTTTGGGTGATCCTCACAAGTCGCGCAACTGTGCTGTCAAACATTTTTGCTTCAGCAAGTTGTTTTTGATGTCTTCATTTGACCTTGAAATGACTTTAAATGCCATGGTTAAGGTTAAGGCCAAGGTGATATATTCGGACGTAAGATTTCCTTCTCTTTTCAATGTCGATATTAAAAAGGGGGAGTTTCATTTGAAAATATTTACTTGACCTTGGAATTAATCCAAATTTTGTGGTCAAGGTCAACATTTTGCTCTCGAACGCAACACTTTTCATTTGCTGAAAATGTCCTTGACCTTGAAGTTAAGTTCGTATCAAGGTTAAATGTTATTTGAGGTCACGGTCATATTCGGGCGTAAAATTTCGTGCCTTTTCCATTTCCAATATAAAAATGAGTTTTACTTGACCCTGAAGGTCATGGTCAAGGGTGATCACAACTCTGATGTGAATCATTTTTGCTACAGCAAGTTGTTTTCAATGTCACTTGACCTTGGAAATGTCCTTAAATGCTGTGGTCGAGGTCATGGGGCGAAGGTCATTGTCAAGGTCAACTTTGGGTGATCCTCACAAGTCGCGCAACTTTGCTGTCAAACATTTTTGCTTCAGCAAGTTGTTTTTGATGTCTTCATTTGATCTTGAAATGACCTTAAATGCCATGGTCAAGGTTATGGCCAAGGTGATATTTGGACGTAAGATTTCCTCCTCTTCTCAATGTCGATATTAAAAAGGGGGAGTTTCATTTGAAAATATTTACATGACCTTGGAATTACTCCAAATTTTGTGGTCAAGGTCATCATTTTGCTCTCGAACGCAACAACTTTTATTTGCTGAAAATGTCCTTGACCTTGAAGTTAAGTTCGTATCAAGGTTAAATGTTATTTGAGGTCAAGGTCATATTCGGGCGTAAAATTTCGTGCTTTTTCCATTTCCAATATAAAAATGAGTTTTACTTGACCCTGAAGGTCATGGTCAAGGGTGATCACAACTCTGCTGTGAAACATTTTTGCTACAGCAAGTTGTTTTCAATGTCACTTGACCTTGGAAATGTCATAAATGTTGTGGTCAAGGTCATGGGGCGAAGGTCATTGTCAAGGTCAACTTTGGGTGATCCTCACAAGTCGCGCAACTGTGCTGTCAAACATTTTTGCTTCAGCAAGTTGTTTTTGATGTTTTCATTTGACCTTGAAATGACTTTAATAGCCATGGTTAAGGTTAAGGCCAAGGTGATATTTGGACGTAAGATTTCCACCTCTTTTAAATGTCGATATTAAAAAGGGGGAGTTTCATTTGAAAATATTTATTTGACCTTGGAATTACTTCAAGTTTTATGGTCAAGGTCATCATTTTGCCCTCGAACGCAACTTTCATTTGTTGAAAATGCCCTTGACCTTGAAGTTAAGTTCGTATCAAGGTTAAATGTTATTTGAGGTCAAGGTCATATTCGGACGTAAAACTTCGTGCTTTTTCCATTTCCAATATAAAAATGAGTTTTACTTGACCCTGAAGGTCATGGTCAAGGGTGATCACAACTCTGCTGTGAAACATTTTTGCTACAGCAATGTCACTTGACCTTGGAAATGTCATTAAATGCTGTGGTCAAGGTCATGGGGCGAAGGTCATTGTCAAGGTCAACTTTGGGTGATCCTCACAAGTCGCCCAACTGTGCTGTCAAACATTTTTGCTTCAGCAAGTTGTTTTTGATGTCTTCATATGACCTTGAAATGACTTTAAATGCAATGGTCAAGGTTAAGGCCAAGGTGATATTTGAACGTAAGATTTCCTCCTCTTTTCAATGTTGATATTAAAAAGGGGGAGTTTCATTTGAAAATATTTACTTGACCTTGAAATTAATCCAAATTTGGTGCTCAAGGTCATCATTTTGCCCTCGAACGCAACAACTTTTATTTGCTGAAAATGTCCTTGACCTTGAAGTTAAGTTCGTATCAAGGTTAAATGTTATTTGAGGTCAAGGTCATATTCGGGCGTAAAACTTCGTGCTTTTTCCATTTCCAATATAAAAATGAGTTTTACTTGACCCTGAAGGTGATGGTCAAGGGTGATCACAACTCTGCTGTGAAACATTTTTGCTACAGCAAGTTGTTTTCGATGTCATTTGACCTTGGAAATGTCATTAAATGCTGTGGTCAAGGTCATGGGGCGAAGGTCATTGTCAAGGTCAACTTTGGGTGATCCTCACAAGTCGCGCAACTGTGATGTCAAACATTTTTGCTTTAGCAAGTTGTTTTTGATGTCTTCATTTGACCTTGAAATGACTTTAAATGCCATGGTTAAGGTTACGGCCAAGGTGATATATTCGGACGTAAGATTTCCTTCTCTTTTCAATGTCGATATTAAAAAGGGGGAGTTTCATTTGACAATATTTACTTGACCTTGAAATTACTGCAAATTTTGTGGTCAAGGTCATCATTTTGCCCTCGAACGCAACAACTTTTATTTGCTGAAAATGTCCTTGACCTTGAAGTTAAGTTCGTATCAGGGTTAAATGTTATTTGAGGTCAAGGTGATATTCGGACGTAAAATTTCGTGCTTTTTCCATTTCCAATATAAAAATGAGTTTTACTTGGCCCTGAAGGTCATGGTCAAGGGTGATCACAACTCTGCTGTGAAACATTTTTGCTACAGCAAGTTGTTTTCAACGTCACTTGACCTTGGAAATGTCATTAAATGCTGTGGTCAAGGTCATGGGGCGAAGGTCATTGTCAAGGTCAACTTTGGGTGATCCTCACAAGTCGCGCAACTGTGCTGTCAAACATTTTTGCTTTAGCAAGTTGTTTTTGATGTCCTCATTTGACCTTGAAATGGCTTTAAATGCCATGGTCAAGGTTAAGGAAAAGGTGATATATTCGGACGTAAGATTTCCTTCTCTTTTCAATGTCGATATTAAAAAGAGGGAGTTTCATTTGAAAATATTTACTTGACCTTGGAATTACTTCAAATTTTGTGGTCAAGGTCATCATTTTACTCTCGAACGCAACAACTTTTATTTGCTGAAAATGTCCTTGACCTTGAAGTTAAGTTCGTATCAAGGTTAAATGTTATTTGAGGTCAAGGTCATATTCGGGCGTAAAATTTCGTGCGTTTTCCATTCAGAATATAAAAATGAGAGTCTTACTCGACCATGAAGGTCATGGTCAAGGTTAACTTTGGGTGAAACTTTTTTGCTACAGCAAGTTGTTTTCGACCTTGGAAATGACATTAAATGCTGCGGTCAAGGTCATTGCCAAGGTCACCATCATTTTGCCCTTGAACCCCACAACTTTTGTTTGCCACCTTGTTTCTAAAATGCTCAGTTTTCGAAATATTTTGGTGGAGATATTAAAATGGGACATCCTGTGTGCAAGAGTTTTTGAAGATGCTGTTTCAAATTGTGAAGTGTCATAACAAAAGCTGTTTTTTTCTTCAGGACGTTAGCCCAGCATTTCAAATACGCCTTAGTTTGGGGAACAAGCACTAAATATTCGCCTCAACGAGTTGGCGCTAGCCATGTAATGCACGATGAAGACGTTATCCAAGTTGTTAAGAAATAAAATCATCATTTTTATAATTATCATAGCAGCAATTGTATTTGTATAATATATATTTACATTGATTGCCTTCTTCATATATTAAGATTATTATAATATGTTCTGTGAATATGTTGTCAGTTTATTTTTCAACGCTTTGATTTGTAAAGCTGATACAATAAAACAAAAACTTTTTTTTTCTCATTCCTCAAGGTTACATTGACTCCCCCTAACTTTCTTGTACGACTTATGTACAGGGAGAGTTACCCAGAAATTTATATTTTTTTAATGGAGGACTTATTTTCACTAAAAAGTATTCAGATTGTTCTATTTAAAACATACTTCTTTATCCGTTAGCACTTTTATGAGACGTTGCCGGAAAAATTCGTTAGACTACAACTTTTGAGTATAATTTTTTCTTCCAAAAAGACATACAAAAAAAGCAAAGGGACACCCAATTCATGAGTATTGTGCAGGTTTGTATTTCGATGGTTTGCCTTTTAGATTAAAAAGAAACACTTGAAATAGTAACAAATTGTTTATTTACAACTTCCGCGAACAATAATCAATCAAATTGAAACTTATGAAATTTACTGGATTTTGTCACAACATTATAATAATAGTAATCGGTGGGACAAAGTCCAGATGCAGCTTCAGACCTCTGAGTGCTGAAAAATTCAAATAAAAAAATAAATTCACGTTATTTGAATCGTCATTGAAAGTTTGCTCTCACCTTTTGTTCAGTTTTACTGGGCCCCTGATCTGGTTCCACTTGGACACCTTATGTTCATTGAAGACCATAAGTCCTAAAACTGCCGTCCACAGGGCCGGAATCAGAGCCTCGTGATCACCTGACCATTTGTCCAACAAAACCGCACAAATGCTGAGTATCTCGGACGCGCGAAATACGTCCGTCAGTTCCCCAAAGTAGTTTAGGTAATTTTCAAAGAGGAAGGATACAAACATGGACGGTTGGATTGCAAATTCGTCGACGAGTTTTCCGACGTCGTGGCAAAGCCTCCAGGAGTTTCCCACCTGAAAAAGGAATCACACAAAATGAATAACTAAAAAATAGACAGAATTGTTGATTCTCGAATCTGATCATGAAGAATAGTATCTTATTATTTCTCCAATTGGCGAGGAAGTATTGTAATCGTGAACATTTTCGGCGAAAATAAGATGTTTTTTTGGTGTTACATTTGTATATCATGAAAATCCATGCGTACCCATTTCCACCAGTCTGTATCTATCCACTGATTCTAACGAAAAAGTTTTGTTGTTTTTGAAAATGGATCCAGTGACGGCGTGGCAGAGTTGGAGGCATAAAATGAGAAAATAATTTTTTTTGGGCATTTCAAGGAAAAAAATTTGGAGTGGGGGAGGGCTATCTTCAACAACACAGGGTGTAATTTAATTGATGGCTTAAAATACAGAATATGATTCCTTAGCTAATTTTAGGAACAAAAGTTTATATGTACTTCTTAACTTTTGAGCTACAGGGTGTTAAATTCGTTTTCTGACCATAACTTTAATACTGTTCTAGACATTTTCATGAAATTTGATATGCATCTATAGGCTTTTTTGATGTAGAATATTTTTTTAAATTATGGCGTCCTTACACGATGTAATCTGGAGATTTTTCAAAAAACATGCTACGCCATTGCTTTCTCCGAAAATAAAAATCTTTTTTGAAATCCTCATTTATTTTGCGACAAATTTAACCTCTTGATTTTTCTCCGTTCGGTGCACCGTTTTCGCGTAAAAAATAAAAACCATTTTGGCTATTTTAACCGATTGACTTTACCTAAATAAAAATTAAGCAAAAACACATCTTACCTACAAAGTACCACATGAAATTTTAGCGATTTTGCAATGCGTGAAAATTTTGAAAAAAGCAATGGCGTACCATATTTTTATTGAAAAATCTCTAGCATACATCCCGTACGAACGCCACTGATAGAAATATTAAAAAATATTCTACTTCAAAAAATGCCCATTGGTGCTTGGTAGATACATGTCAAATTTCATGCAAATATCTAGAACAATCGTAAAGTTATGGTAAGAAAACGATTTTTTTTCTTAAAATTCAACACCATGCAGCTCAAAAGTTAGGAGGTTTAGGACATACAGTAATGGACAAAAGTATATAGACAAATTAATATGGTGCTGTATTTCTTTTTTAACTTGTTTGATTAATATACTAAGTGACATATAAATCCGAACACCCAGTTTAAATGGTTTTATTTTAATAAAAGTTGGTGAATGTATTTATCTTACTGTAAATAACAAGTGAAAAAATGTTCAGCCTTATCAGTTGGACATTCCGGTTTTTATACTGCTTTTTTTTAATTCACTAACGCTCTAAAAATGAATATTTCAGCCGCAGTAAAGAATCAACGTTGGCGGATTTTGGTTCTTGACATCCACTCGTTTTCTAAAGGGATTTAGGTAAATATTCATATTTGTCTATATACTTTTGTCCATTTCATATAAATTTGTCTTCCTAACATGAGCTAAGGAATCATATCCTGTATTTTTATCCATCAATTAAATTACACCCTGTACTATAATCACCTTTTCTCTTTTGGGGCATAGTACTCTTCCAAGTCCATGGAAAAGTCCTAAAGTCTCATCTTTAGACATCCCTTTCAGTTTACTGTCCTTATCCACTTTTTTCCTTTTTACACCTTTAGATTCTTTCAAACTCTGGATGGTAGGTATCTCTCCAGTATCTAAACGAAAAATATGAACCTAACTTCAGATGGTAGAAGGAACGGTAAATGAAATGATATTCATAGATTTTCACATTGTTTATTCACAAAAATGTCCCTATACTTTTCGATATGTAGTACTTGAATACTTAAATGGTTAAAATGAAATTATAGAATATATTCAAAGGCCTGAAGGGGTCCCAGATCAGAGTAAAATTTGCAGTTGGTCATACAGATTTTTTGATTTGGGAGCTTATTAAACTTGGGCCCCATAAGCCCATAGATTGAAGGCAGAATAAACACACAGAGAGGCAGTATTGCTTTTGCAGAAAACATTGCCAATGTACCTTTTAAGCTTGCTAAGTAAAACTGGTTCATGGTATTTCTGATATCCCCCATAGAGGATGCTATAATAGCATCAACAGTAGATGGGGAAGGTTGCTTAAAAAGATCTGTCCTCTCTTTTATCAACTCTGCTGCCCTTTTGATGGCACTTTTCATCAATGTTGAAGCAGAGGAATTGAAGCTGAAAGATTAATACATTAGCACTAAAAAAGGTTGTTATCAATTACTTTTGCCAATTAATCATACCTTATGTGAGCTATACTGTACTTTGCCATGATATCATCAGGAAACAGCATCCTTACTAAATTAATATTACTACTATTGGAATCTGTGCATATAAACACAATTGGATTATCTGTCTTATAAGAACATTCTCTAAAAACAGAAATTATATCAAAGGCTTAAATGGGAAAATATATCATGAACACATACTCTAGAATATCAAAAAATTGTTCAGGTCTATGTATCACAGCATTGGGGAAATCTTTCACTAGTGTAATTTTTTTTGCACAATCATCAAACAGTGAATTCCACTTTGAGTCTCCTAAAAATTCCATGAACTGACTTATTTGGTTTTGGCCTTTAATTTCATAATCTTGGTCTATGGGATTCACCCATTCTGATACCGATATTCCCAGAGAACTACAGATAACATTCAATGTAACTGTTTTGCCAGATCCTGTTGGGCCTGATATTACCAAAAATTGACTTCTTTTCTAAAAGCAGAACAAATATACCATATATTTCTGCAACATACTTTATTTATGTACCATATTTTGTTCTGGTGAAACTACATATCTCTGTAGCCAACTTTCCACCTCTTGAATCTTTTTTGGGTGTACCGCCAACTCGCTAACAGTTTTTGGAGTCAACTTTTGATGGAAATCAAATGCTGGCATTTTGGAAATACCAGATACTGTGTCAGATATCAATTTGTTAGATGTTACACTCTGGTTTACAGTAGTTTTCTCTGGTGAAGCATTTTCTGTTTTACTTTTAGAAACATTGTGGGTTTTTGGGTTTGAATGGGGGGGGCCAAAATCAAAACTCCTCCACTAAAATATACAGAAAAATGTAAAACGTTAATCTTGCATAATAATCGATTCCTACCTTTTTGTTTGACTCCATCAGCGATTTTCTTATGGTCTTGTTTGAATCTTCAATTTTTGTTTTGAAAACTGATCCAAGCAGTTAAATGTCAAATTCAAAATTAGTAAGAACTTAGAACAAATCATTCATGGAAGAAAATTCCAAAGTTATTATTTAAAACGTATCCAGGGCTGCCATTTTGGTCTTTATTAGCTCTTCAGGCACAAAATGGCGACTTAATATACTGTTTTTTTGGAAATATGCGTTCTTTCTATTCTATGCCTTCAATGCGATCCTTCCATGGCTTATGTCACTTGTCATTCTTGTCAATGTCACTTCCTTGACATTTGTGGTTGTGGTTATATGTATTTTGGAAAAATGTAAATATTTGTTTATAAACGTACTTAAAATTCATTTTTAAATTATATTCTTTGTAGATTATCGTATTTGAAAATTAATGGGATTGATAGATGATGAACTCGCTGAGGTTAAGAAGCTTTGTGAACATGTCGTGCCTGGATCGAAACTTGTCTCTTGCGTTCAAACCATGGTCCGTGTCGAAATAAAAAGAACGGACTTTAAAAAACTAGTTATATGCATGCAATTTCCAAAGGAATATCCACGATCACCTTTACTGATAGAGCTAAAAAGCAAAACTTTATCCGAAAAGCTCCTACAACGACTAACCGGTGTTTGCGAGGTGGAAGCAAAGAAAATTCTGGGAAAACCACAAGTTTTGAATACCATAAAGTTTCTACGCAATTTTATTGATGAAAATCCTTTATCTTGTTGTTTTGATGAAATAAATGCTCTAAAGAAATCCTTGAGTGGAGAAGACGAATTCAAATTAAGGCAGAAGAATTCTAGCATAATTTTGAGGGCATATAATGCCAAATATTACTTGAGCTGTAGGATTGTGGTGCCTGACAACTACCCTGTTAGTGATGTAGAGTAAGTTGGGCCCCTTTTTGATGTCTTTATTATTATCACAACAATTTTATATTTGTTATAGCATCCAAGATGTTGATACCAATTTTACGCCAGCACTTCACAGGCATATGGTGTCGCAGGCTAAAGAAATAGCAAGGAGATGTGTACAGCCACCGCTTAAGAAAAAGCCTAATGAACCGAAATTTGAGCCTAGTCCGTCATTAAAGAAATCTGTGGAGTTCCTTATCGATTGTGTTAAAAGGTTACCTACAGAAAATTGCCAGTTTTGCAAGAAACTTTGTTTTCCTGAAGACCCCAATGTAAATATCATGGGTTATGTATTACAATTTTTTCAAAAAACACGGCACAGTATTTTTTCTGTGGGACAAAAAACAAAGAATCATTGAAAATTACAAGGAGTTCTCAATAATGACATGAACTTTCGGAACAGATTTTTTTTCAGATTGTTTCTTTTTCTAGGAGCTAGAAAAAGATGAAAATTCCCCCAAACATATCGAAAGGGTTTATTGTGGTCACTTATTTCATCAAGACTGTTTTTTCACATATATGAAACTCCCTCCGTTTGGAAACAAAACATGTTCGACATGTGGCAAGAGAATCTACCATTTCAAATGGACTCTCACTGACAAACTCGCTGAAGATCGTTGGGCTCATCATCAAGCAAGGGAAAGAGAATTGGCGGAAGTTACAGAATTTTTTAAATAGTTTTGATATTATTTTTAATTTTTGTTTTCGGTATGTTTCTATGGATGGTTCCAAGAACATCGCATTACTTTTATGAACTGATTGTGTAAGTAAAAAGATAATTTTGAGTATTTTGTTTTTTGTCATCCATTAGTGCTATAACCTATTTTGTGATAATAAATATTCTAGCAAAACCTACGCCTATGATTTGAGAATTACAAAAATAATTCAGTGATGATGCACGAACACTAATGCCTATTTTTCATACTATAAAAGAGAAGCCTTATTTTTTATTTATTATTACTAAATAACCAGCTGTCATTCTACCGTAGGTAATTGATAAATGAATACTCGTGAAAATGACAGAAGTTGATAGATACCCTATTTCACGAGTATCCATCACGGTAGAATGACAGCTGGTTATCTAGTAATATTTCAAAATTCCCCATATCGACTAAAGACATAATTCTAACGGATCCGTCAATGCCAGGTAGACAGAGCCATATTTTGTTTCGATTTTGTTATACGCTACAGATTCATTTTCTACTTGCTAAAAGCTTTTTTATTTTGACAAGTTCATTTGCATACAAAAAACAAAACGCTACAGTCTAATGACCCGAGTAAAGATAACATGGCCACGCAAGACAAGTATTGAAATATACTCTACTAGACTATCCGTAGCGAATTTTTTTTCGAAATCGTTGCATACCGTTTGAAAAATGCAAATGATTGGAAAACTGCAGCTTTGATGTACTAAATGACTCCGTCGTTACCCCGGGATAGACATACGTTTTGGCAATTGACCTTGTCATTCTTGTCACCTAGATTGCGGCATTGCCAGCTCATGGGACAATTGTGTTACCTCTGCTATTTTGCTAGAATGTTATAAAAAAAGTTTTGAATAAAATATTGATGAATACCAATGGATATATATAAAATTTGAGGCGTAGCTATGTTTGCCTAAAAACTAAAAAAGGAAGCTGTTATTTTGCGTCGCCTGGTGTCTACCGTTAATGTCTCTGGATACTTTTATAAATGCCCAGTTTTATAGGATAAAATACTTTGGAAACATTTTTTTTATTATATAAATATATTTATTGAGTATTTGATCTAAAATTACATGATCATTAATAGGAGAAGTAGGATTTTTATTTTCTCTGCTATTTAGTAACTAGGGGAATATGGTTTTTTAGCGACTGCATTCGTACTTGGGCGAGAAAAACCCTAGAAAACCTCAACCGTTGCTAAGATTAATTGTATCAGTTGAAGAAAAATCAAGTCGTTCCACAATTCTAGCTTCATTTGTACAATCGAAAATCGCCAGCATATCACAGTTATTAAGCTAAAAAAACAGCGTTGAAAAAACGGTTTATCCGAAGGCGATTTTTTAAGTAAAGACCGTTTTGTAATCCAGTCAGAGAAATTTTATTTACAAATGTAAATTGTATCACAAACTAAAATATGAACATTTTTTCATTTTTCAACATAGCCACCATAAACATTCAAACACAAGTCAAGCCGTGTCAACAGTTTTTGTGTTAATGTAGCATCAGAAACTTTGGTTTTCATGACGACTATTTCCCTCGTCTTAAGTTCAACCAATCACAAACGCGGAATTTTGAATTACAAATGGTTTATCGATGGAAAAATCGTATGACAGTACCTGTCAGCATTTTTTTCCAGTTTACCCACGTCAACACTTGTCAGCTGTTGTCACAATACATTTGATAACAAGTAATTATGGCCTCCTAGGACAGCAGAAAACGCCGCTAAGCTAAATTTTGTAATATTGTTTTTAAACAGTGCTGGTCAGCTTATGTAGTGAAAATGAGTCGCTTTGGAATGCTATGTGCGCAATTTATTTAAAAAAAAGCATAGGATATCAACCCTAACACACAACTAGATGAGTATGCAAGGCTCACCTCGTTTGTTGCGCAGATATCCTGTTTCCCTCAGAAAAGTTGGAGGTAGACCTTATTTCCACTTTGGAGATACTTAACACCCACGTCACAACACTAAAACACCAAAGCAATACTGAGAGACAATCGAGAACCCTATAGTGAACACCAATACTGAAAAAAAGTAGCTAAACCGAATAGAGCTCTGCACAGCGCTGTGAACACGTAGACATTCCGCTGTGCCGGCGGTTGCCGAGAGACTGAAGCGTGTGAGTGCTGTACCAGGCTGTGGCGATAAGGTACGGCCGATGTTTACGTAGCAGACACGCGGAGTGGGAGCTGGAAAGGGGCGTGGCTGTACTACCCGGCATTACCGTATCGCCACAGCGAGGTACAGCACTCGCACGCTGCAGTCTCTCGGCAACTGTCGGCGCAGCGGAATCTCTACGGGTTCACAGTTCCGTACAGAGCTCTATTGGGTTTAGCTACTTTTTTTCAGTAGTGGTGTTCACTATAGGATTCTCGAAGGTCTCTCAGTGGTGTTTTAGTTTTGTGACGTGGGTGTCAAGGGTCTCCAAAGTGGAAATTAGGTCTACTTCCAACTCTTCTGAGGCAAACATTGACATCCTATGTTTTTTTTTTAAATAAATTGCGCACATTGCATACACTGAGAGATTAGTCATATACTGAGGTATTTGGGAACAACTAAAATTTGGCCAAATCGTTTTTATTTTTGTCTGACTTTATTTTAAGAAATGTCAAAGAACTAATGGCACTATTTAGGCACTACATGATGGTGTTTTTAAAAAAGTACTACCCTGTATCTAATAGCATATTTTTCTACGACAACGATGTATCGCGTTACATTTTTTTTTAGTTATAAACGAACGTGTTTTTTATACTTATTATTTTATTTAAGTAGGCGTTGCAAACAAATGCTTGACATAAGATTGTGTGATTATTGAATTTAACCTAGTCTGATCCTTATCTTGGCCACCCTGTAATACATTATTATAAAAAGAAGTTTACAGAAACGTGCACTAATCTAACGTTCTTGTAAGAAATCTCATGTACTTACATTCATTTCTGAAAAATCTCAAAACTATTAGCAAGGCCTCAAACAAAAAACTAATTTTAGTCCAAGGAATTGGTGATAGCAGAGGAGTTGGCAACGCCGCAATCCAGGTGATATGAATGACAAGGTCAACTTTCAAAACGTATGTCTATCCCCGGGTACAATGGAGTTGGAGTCATTTAGAACATCAAAGCGGCATTTTTCTGATCTTCATTTGCACATTTTTGAGTGTTGTGCAACGATGCAAGAAAAATTTGGCCACGGATAGTCTTCTAGAGTTTAGCAGAGTATATTTCAATAGTAGTCTTGCGTGACCATGTTATCTTTACTCGTATCCAAACAAATTTTGGCTAGATTTACACCCGATTCGTTATAGCCAACGTTGCAGACTAATACAAAAAAGTCACTTGCTGATCAGCTGTTCACCTCGGTAGACGTCAACGCTTGATAGATACTCGCGAAATAGGGTATAGCAGACAACGATATATCTAGTAACCTAATCTGGAATTTAATGATATTTCTTCATGTGTAAAAAACCTTTATTTTAAATACAATTCATACATTACTAAATGTGTCTTTTTCATATTTTACCATTTAAATAATTTGTAGATTCAATATAGTCTTATTAAAAGTAATTCTATTCAAGTTACATATTCCTGACTCATATGTCTTACCCGCAAAAGATAAAAGAAATTTGTACGTTTTTTAAAACTAAATATGGTAAAAAAATCTACAATTCTAATCCTAATATTTACTTCTTTCCTACACTATCGTTATCCTCCTCATCCGTGTTATAATCATCTGCTGTTGTAGTCAGTCTTCTAGCAGCTGCCTCTTGAGCCCTCCTGAAAAATACACAACAGCTATAAAATGAATCTATCAACATCTCAGAGAAGTTTCAGAACGCAATATTTGAATTTAGCGCCATTTTGGCTGTCAATGTCATAATGGTTGTGACATGACAGATCTACAGTGGGCAGGCGGGAGTTTATGAAAATGAATCATTATACAATAGAAAGTGCAGCTAACATTCGGTCGGAATAATGTTCCTACCCCATCCACTGAGAAAAAAATAATCAAATAATTTGAAAGTACTGGTTCTGTTAATGATGTGAAACATACGAGACCAACTGTAGCGGTCGTTCAGAAGAAAATGTCAGAGCAGTTCGCGAAAATGTAGCCGGGAGTCCAGGGACGTCGAATCGTCAATTGGACATTAAAACAGCCACTCTCCAGCGTACTCTAACCAAAGATGCATGCCTACAAAGTCCAATTGACTCAACTGCTTATGCCAACAGACTATGCGCAGCGAAGAGAGTTTAGAAATAGGATCCTTGACTAACAGGATGTGAATGGTGATTTTGTAGACGAAATCATTTTTAGCGATGAGGCCCATTTTCATCTCGATGGCTTCGTCAATAGACAAAACTGCCGCATTTGAGGCACAGAGAATCCAAGAGTACCTAATTCACGAGAAAGTTATGCATCCAAAACGTGTCACTGTTTGGTGTACACCAGTGTACACAATGGTCTGGAGGAAATATTGGACCGTTTCATATCTATTATTATTAACATCTTGGAATGTTTTCCCTTTGATTCAGTTAAGCCTGACAAAGTCCGCAAAACATGCTGTATATAGCATTTAATAACGATAATCAATTACACCTCCGTTCAATAGTAGGCCATGACAACTTGACAGCTAGCAAAATGCGTTTTGGTTCGAGATTATTTCGCGAAAAACAGGCTTGGCGGGAAGTCGAGTTGGCTGTGATTAGATGATTTTCTAAAGACGCCGGTTTCGAGACTTCAGTTTTCGGTAGTAACTGAAGAGGACGAGTGGGTTTGAATTGTTCGATTTAAATATAAAAAAATATCGCACATCCACGATTTCAAGAGTTTCAAATGGTTTCCGCGTGTGCGTGTAGTGTTTTTCGTGCTTAGTTTGCTGGTATTTTTCCGCGGAGTAGTAACATTTACGAAGGTGCAGATCAAGGTTTGTAGTTTTAAATAATTCTGTGTGTACCTATTTATAACTATTTATGAGTGTACAGCACTATACAGGCTGTTAATTAAGTGAGTACCCCATAAATTTAACGGACGATTCTTTGAGCAATTTTAAATGTAAAAGTTCATATGAACCTAGGTTCGCAAAGGTGCTGTTGCGTCTGGCAGAACTTCCGATTTCACTGTTTTTTCTCTTAAAGCTTTCAGAGGGTA